TCATATCAGTATGTAGTGTCTCTACTTTAAAGAGTCCTCTCCTGCTGATGTTCAGGTGTATATCAGTATGTAGTGTCTCTACTTTAAAGAGTCCTCTCCTGCTGATGTTCAGGTGTATATCAGTATGTAGTGTCTCTACTTTAAAGAGTCCTCTCCTGCTGATGTTCAGGTGTATATCAGTATGTAGTGTCTCTACTTTAAAGAGTCCTCTCCTGCTGATGTTCAGGTGTATATCAGTATGTAGTGTCTCTACTTTAAAGAGTCCTCTCCTGCTGATGTTCAGGTGTATATCAGTATGTAGTGTCTCTACTTTAAAGAGTCCTCTCCTGCTGATGTTCAGGTGTATATCAGTATGTAGCGTCTCTACTTTAAAGAGTCCTCTCCTGCTGATGTCCAGGTGTATATCAGTATGTAGTGTCTCTACTTTAAAGAGTCCTCTCCTGCTGATGTTCAGGTGTATATCAGTATGTAGTGTCTCTACTTTAAAGAGTCCTCTCCTGCTGATGTTCAGGTGTATATCAGTATGTAGTGTCTCTACTTTAAAGAGTCCTCTCCTGCTGATGTTCAGGTGTATATCAGTATTTAGTGTCTCTACTTTAAAGAGTCCTCTCCTGCTGATGTTCAGGTGTATATCAGTATGTAGTGTCTCTACTTTAAAGAGTCCTCTCCTGCTGATGTCCAGGTGTATATCAGTATGTAGTGTCTCTACTTTAAAGAGTCCTCTCCTGCTGATGTTCAGGTGTATATCAGTATGTAGTGTCTCTACTTTAAAGAGTCCTCTCCTGCTGATGTTCAGATGTATATCAGTATGTAGTGTCTCTACTTTAAAGAGTCCTCTCCTGCTGATGTTCAGGGGTATATCAGTATGTAGTGTCTCTACTTTAAAGAGTCCTCTCCTGCTGATGTTCAGGTGTATATCAGTATGTAGTGTCTCTACTTTAAAGAGTCCTCTCCTGCTGATGTTCAGGTGTATATCAGTATGTAGTGTCTCTACTTTAAAGAGTCCTCTCCTGCTGATGTTCAGGTGTATATCAGTATGTAGTGTCTCTACTTTAAAGAGTCCTCTCCTGCTGATGTTCAGGTGTATATCAGTATGTAGTGTCTCTACTTTAAAGAGTCCTCTCCTGCTGATGTTCAGGTGTATATCAGTATGTAGTGTCTCTACTTTAAAGAGTTCTCTCCTGCTGATGTTCAGGTGTATATCAGTATGTAGTGTCTCTACTTTAAAGAGTCCTCTCCTGCTGATGTTCAGGTGTATATCAGTATGTAGTGTCTCTACTTTAAAGAGTTCTCTCCTGCTGATGTTCAGGTGTATATCAGTATGTAGTGTCTCTACTTTAAAGAGTTCTCTCCTGCTGATGTTCAGGTGTATATCAGTATGTAGTGTCTCTACTGTGACATGTCTCCATGCTTTAATGTTGAAAAAGCTCTTTATTTTTCTCATACTGCCTGTGCTGCAGCACCTCTTTTCACCCTCTGTCTGAAACCAGAGCCCAGTCTGCTCTGATTGGTTAGCTGGCCGGCTCTGTTGTGATTGGTCAACCACTTAGAGATGTCCCGCCCCTTAGCCTATCACGTATAATGTGTTTGAGCGCTAGCCAATAGAAATGCGAGTGTTACATAGTGATGATGAGAGGGCCACTTTAGACAAAGCTCTCAGGAAAGTTTACCAAACCTGACAAAGATTGAAAAGCTTGAGGCTCAAGGTGAACAACTTGTTCAACTGCATTCAATATGTGATTTATTATGAATTGCATGCATGTGATAGTATAATACAATGAATGTGTGTGTGACAAGTTGGAAAACGTTGTTACTGATGGACAATTTAATCATTTCTGAGATGATTCATTTGTGTCATTCATCAATTTACAATCTTCCTTTCTTGTTTATTTGTAATTTCTATAATTGGGACAGTCATTTAACTTCAGGGATGTTTTAAAGTGGACCTATCATGCTATATTTGAATAATATAGTGTAGGACCATACCTATATAAGGCATATTTATACTTATTTTTCAAAATACCAAACAGATCATGCATTTTAGCCATGCCTCATTTTGCTCAATTTGACAATTTCTAGATCTGTTTTTGCAAGGGTTGATTCTGTGAGAACAGCACCATCTACAGGCCTGGCATATGTACTACAGCGTCTCCAGCGCTTTCGAACGGCAATGGCCGTGGTTGTCTCCTCCTGATTGGTGGAGTTGGCCCAATAGCCGTAGCGCCACCGTCCTGACGTCAGGACAGTGTTCAAATCTGGATCAGTTTTTATCAGATCCGTTGCAGCCCCTTTTTTTAGAGATTTGGGTATGGAGGAAAATAGAGAGGGTTGTGTTTTCTGACACTTGGTGAGTTCCCTGGAACACCGGGGACACATATTCATGTATAAAAGACGTACAAAAGTGCATTTTGCATGATAGGTCCCCTTTAAATTATTGCCTATAAAAACAACATTAAACATGAAATAATCAGTTGCATTCATTTCTTATGGCTCTATATGCAGCTTCATTTCTTATGATTACATTTTTCCACAGGCCAAGAACAGCTTCAACAAAACTATTTCCCTCAAAGAGAAAAACAAACATGCCCTGTTGTCTCAAGAAAAAAAGTGCAGAAGGAAACATCCATTGAACTCAGTGTGCTGCTCTGTGATGCTAGTTCAAGCCAGATACTTGGCATCTCATCTTGGGGGCAAGTTCATCAATTTGGGGTCTGACTCTTTCCTCAGGATTGAGTGAAGGTGTGCGTGCAATATACCGGCGGGCCTGGTCTAAAAGTAATTAGAAATTATCCTGCGGGCCGAAATTAAATCCACCAAGGGCCTGATTTGGCCCCCGGGCCTTGAGTTTGACACATGTGGTGTATGCTCTATAACTGTCGTGTCTGGCATGTGTCATATTTTATGCCTGCATTAATAAAAAAAGGTTAAATCAGACAGGAGAGACACAGTCCTCACATGTGCACCATGTTACTGTTTGTTGCATTGTTGGTGAAGCTCAAGACTTTCCACTTCCATTGATAAAAGACCCTGTAGCTGCTGTGCATGATCATAGAGCAGAACAATGTAAGTAGTAAGTAATACAAAAATGAAAAAATTGAGAATAAAACTTAACAACCGATTAGCCGCCTATTACTCTAAGAGGGTTCAGCTTGAACACTGCAGTGTCTGTTACGGGTATTTTTTGCCAGTATTAAAATGAGTCCGCTCACATGATGCTTTGGAAAACAAACAGGAAACACAAGAAAAGCCTGAAGTCATTCTTGTTCCGGAAGCAGCGCCCCTTTGACACAAATAAAAGCATCTAAATGATTTCCTGTCCTGAGGATAACATCAGCTCCAGTGACGTGTTCTCTCTCCTCATCAGGATGACAGATGGATACAAAGATACCTGCAGATACCTATAAAGCACCAGCAGATGGCGCTGCAGCCCCACTGCGCTCACACACTTTTATATTAGTGTCCATATGAGTGTCCATCAGTGGGAACTTGGCACACACTCGGAGCAGAAACCCTCCGGTGTCCTTCAGCCAAGTGACTCGGTGTAGAAGGAGCGAGTCAATTACCCGGTGATGGATAGATTACAGCCATGCATCACTCTGGGAGCCAGCTTCCCGATGTGAGCTGAATCTCAAAGTCCATTTGTTAGCGCTCTCTCTGACAGATGGTAAAGAGGGGCTCATTTGAATCTGCGACTGCCGCAATCTGAGGTTGGAGGTCAATCTACTTCCAGACATTTGGCTGTGATCACATCGGTAATTTATGTGGCGAAGCGTTCAAGTGATGGAGAAAAGGTCCTCGGGTTTATGTGAAGGCATTAGGCTGAACTCGCACTGCCGGATCGACACAAATGTGCAGAGATAGTGGCCGTGTTATTAGCTCAATGACTTTTTATTTTATATGAGTTTAAATCATCCGTATTAATGCAAACACAATTTCATCTAATGAGGTGTCTTAACTTGCAACCGAAGCGTATTATCAGAGTCAGGAACACTTTGACATACCAAGGAGAGTCATTACACCAACATATTTCTGATTAAGTGCAAGTCCATTTCAATGGAATTGGCTATTACTATTAAAGAAATTGCAATTAGTTCAGAAATCTGCAGCCAGGATTTTAACAAACCCACATTTCGCCTGTGCTGGAATCACTGTACTGGTTCCGAATTGATTTTGAAGTGCTTTAAAACGATTTACAAGGCTTTACATAACCTTACCCCAACATATGTAAGTGTCTCATTTTATCAACCTGCAACTCAGATCCTCCAATATTTTACTTTTAGAAGTACCTAGAGTGCATTACAAGAAAACTCCCCATTTGATCGAGAACAGCAACCTCCATTGGAATTTCTTTAAGTCAATTAAAAATCAATTTTTTTTAATTTGGCTTATCATTTGGGGCAATTGTAGTTTTTTTTAGTAGCATCACTGTCATGTTTTAGTGTTTTATGGTTCAGTGATATAACTCTTTGTTTGTTAATAACCTGTTTTTAATTATGTTCCACACTTTTTATTGTCATGCTGTGAAAGGTGCTATATAAATAAAGTTGTGAACAGAAAAAAAAGAAAAAATGTTTAGCTCCAGCAGCAACAAGAAAAGGGTTGTTTGAGGCTAATAATTAGATTTTTGTTGACATTTTCTCCCCCCATTACCACCGTTATTACTACCCCCCCCCCCCCCTCCACCCCCACCCCCCCTCAGACGTCTCCATCTATCCACAGCCAGTGGATATTGACCAGCAGGAGCTCGATGCCATGACTTTGGAGTCTGAAGATGCTGTGATTACCAGCCGAGTGGTGGGCTATTGATCGGGGAGGTGGTCAGCGGAGATGATTGGGCTCGCAGTGTATTGACTGCAGGCGAGGAGAGAGGGGGGGGGGTGGGGGGCGGAAACTCGCTACAAATGACTGGTCAGCACTTATAATTCAGAGGACAAAAAGCATCAATACACAGCTAAAATAAATACAATCAGCTTTTTTCTTTGGAGAATCATTCCATTTAATCTGGAGGAAACAGGGGGGGGGGGGGGTTATGCATGAATGTGTGATGGATGTTAGTTTTGATGAGCGTTCTTCAAGGAGCGCAGGTTTCTGAGAGGGGGGGTCAGGGGGGGAACCCTGAGCCCATGGCCCCTGTTCTTCCTGCGGGACTCTTTCAGGCTCTCAGGGGAGGTGTGGGGGACCCAGGCCATCCCCCCCGCTGAGCTGTCCTGCTTCACGCCTCTCTGGTTCCTCATGCTCCGGCGCACCGAGCGGCGCCCTCTGCTGGCCACAGGTTTGAACACATCCTCAAAATATACGTAATCCTCCCAGGGGGCCAGGTCAAGGGGGGCCAGGTCCAGGGGGGCCAGGTCCAGGGGGGCCAGGTCCAGGGGGGCCAGGTCCAGGGGGGCCAGGTCCAGGGGGGCCAGGTCCACGGGGGCCAGGTCCACGGGGGCCAGGTCCAGGGGGGCCAGGTCCAGGGGGGCCAGGTTCACGGGGGCCAGGTTCACGGGGGCGGCCAGGTCCACGGGGGCGGCCAGGTCCACGGGGGCCAGGTCCACGGGGGCCAGGTCCACGGGGGCCAGGTTCACAGGGGCGGCCAGGTTCACAGGGGCGGCCAGGTTCACAGGGGCCAGGTCCTGCTTCACGCCGCTCTGGTTCCTCATGCTCCGGCGCACCGAGCGGCGCCCTCTGCTGGCCATAGGTTTGAACACATCCTCAAAATATAAGTAATCCTCCGAGGGGCCCAGGTCAAGGGGGCCCAGGTCAAGGGGGCCCAGGTCAAGGGGGCCCAGGTCAAGGGGGCCCAGGTCAAGGGGGCCCAGGTCCAGGGGGCCCAGGTCCAGGGGGGCCAGGTCCAGGGGGGCCAGGTCCAGGGGGGCCAGGTTCAGGGGGGCCAGGTTCAGGGGGGCCAGGTTCAGGGGGGCCAGGTCCACAGGGGCCGCCCCCGCCCCCTCCTCCTGGCTGTCGGAGCTGGACCGGATGTTGTCTTCCTGTTCCGGCGCCTCCTCGTCAGGGAGCGTTTGAAGCGGCTCTGCCTGCTCCATCTTCACACAGATGTTTCGAGAGCTCCTCCTGCCCCGAGAGGTTTTCCTCTGAACCGCCAAAGTCTTGTGAGACCCTCCCCCTGAGTTTGGAGCGTCGACACTGCCATGATTTTCTAACTTTCCCTCAGAGTCTGTGCAGGGAGTCTGTGCAAGAGTGTGGAGGTTTTGTTCAGCGTCTACTTCTTCCTCTGGTACCGGGGTCTCCCTGGATACTTCATGGTTTGTAGTGTGTTCGACTTCACGCAGCTCCTCTGTGGTTCCTTCAGTCTGGTTAATGAGCAGGAAGTCGTCAGCACAACTGACCTTCATCTTCTTCGGTCCACTGCTCCTCTCCCTCTGTGTAGTTAGAGTCAGTCTGGGGGGGGACGGCTTCTCTGCGATGGGACTCAGGTTGGGTTTTTTGCAGACGTACACGCGGAGGCCGTACCTGGAGCGGTCCACGTCTCTGCTCCACCTCCGCCGAGTCGCTACCTGAGGAGACAAGATGCACTGTGAGGAGGAGGGGGGGGGCTGACATGTCATCTCAATAGGTACCAGAATTTTTAATTTTTTTATTGGGGCAAATGTATGGTATTCCTCTTCTGTAACACAGTATTATTGTGTTTAAATGTATACTTATTCAAGTCAAGGCCTTAAAGATCTCCTATCATGCTATTTTTAGACATATGTTATGGCTTTCAGATACAAATATATGAAAAACATGTCTTTGATGTGTTTTTCTCAAAATACCAAACAGATCATGCATTTTAGACATCCCTCATATCCCTCTATTTCAGCCCTGTTAGAGAACTGCTGATTCTGGGTCCTTAGCCAAAAAAAAAGGGGCTGGGAGCTAATGCCTGCTCAGAATTCTACCGAGAGATTTTCAGCTAAATGCTGCTGTGATGAAATGCAATATCACGTTCTAAACCACATCAAGGATTATTTCTGAAACCGTTCAAATACTTTTTCTCTCTCGGGTTTACCACAAGGTGAGTTCCTTTTTTTTCCTGCTTCTTCACACACATGCTCTGTGCAGTACAGGTTAGCTCTGAGTGTTAGCGATACTAATGTAAACAAAAACCATATTACTTCCGAAAACGTTGCGCATTGATTCTGATAGCAACGTTTCTGATAGGGCCGTGGGTCTAAAGCCCGCCCACATTTCAGATATTACGTCATATCGGACGCAAATCTGGATCAGCTCTGCTGTTACCCCGTTTTTAGAGATTTGGGTACGGAGGAGGAGAGGGTTTTGTGAGTTCCCCGACACACCGGGGACACATATTTACATATAAAAGTGCATTTTGCATGATAGGAAACCTTTAAAAAAGGTGTACATTTATTTTGAGAGGATATTAATGTGTTGATTGGCCCTCAGATTACAGAGATGCCTGCAGAATGACACCTGCTACAGTAGATCTCAGGGTGTTTACGCTCTGCTTTAATTTAATCCCTGCCCACATTCTGCAGCATAAAACGTCAGAACTGAGTCTTTTGGCAAACCCGACAAAAAAGAACACATTAAGACCCAAACACAATCTTGACTTGGAGTTTAAAAATCTACAGAGCTGTCAGAAGAGACACACAGCAAGGCTCTGTAAATGGACACGGGGGCATACAAACATACACACAACTCAAAGAAAGTTCAAGTGAGTTTTTGCAGCTCTGAGCTCCCGTGGAAGACACATCTGCCCCCTCGGAGGAGCGGTGAGAAGTGAAATCAGACTCCGCCCACTCACCTTCATCTTCCCCACGGCTGACTTGGCAGCGGAGCGCGTCGGCCTCATCGCGGGCACCATCTCCTCGGGCTGCTGCAGGAGCACAGAGCTGGTGTTAGGAGACATTACACGGACGCTCTCTCACACGCACATTTCCTCGGATAACACTTCAATTCTGATCCAGAGGAATTATACAGTAGATTAGATGGGGAACATGTTATGACCCCTAAATTGTTACACAGCAGTCTGGTGTGGTAAGAGGAGATTCTCTACAAGTGTAAGAAGCTGAAGTGGGTGGGTGGTGTTTGCAGACCTTTCTCTTTCTCTTGGTGGAGCGACAGGGAGCCTCGCTGCCGGCTGCAGGGTCTGCTGCTGGCTGCTGGGGAGGACATTTAGAAAACTCTCAGTGTACCACATATAGCAACATATCAAGGGCAGTGAGAGTCTGGTGATATCAAGAGGCCGTCACTGCTTGAATGTGAAGCAAATTGGGTCTGTAATTCTATGATATGAACCCATATAGTGGTGCAGGGATGATGTATTTTTGTAGGCCGACCCGGAAGTAAGCTGTGCATGGGTTCCCTCGACAAAAAAGCAATGGGATTTCTCCATAGGTTTGTTTTCCACAGATCTTATTTTTTACAATAGTCCAAAATCCTGTTTGATAAATGCACCTTTTGTTCAGCCGGGTAATCTCCACATGTCTACCTTAGTTTTATCATTTTTTAATCATAAATCTTATCACCAGAAGCAAAATGCTAACGTTATGCTATAAACGAGTTACAGCCGAGTACAGCAGGATCGCTCGCCTTCAACGTCACGCCAACTTAAGATCGATATTCCAAAATACAGATTCTAAATGGTACGAGTTGAAGCGTTTGTTTGAACAGTTTGCAGGAGGCAGGTATTTGCTTTCAAGCAGAACAGGGCAAACTAACTACGTGTTCGGCGTAATGACGTACAACATCCTCAACCTCCTATTCAGCCACTTGGTAACAACCATCGTTTTTCAGACACGTCAACTCTTCAGAAATCACCAGTGGGGTCACTGCTGATGTATTTAATGTCGTAGAACAAAACGTGATCAGTCTCTTCAATTTGTGTCAACGACAGACCTTATTTCCAGATATTTTCCAAAATCCTGTGGAGAAATCCCATTGGCTCTGAGACGAGGGAACCGGTAGTGGTAAAATGCTAACTCACTTCCGGGTTTTAGGACTCGTTCCTGCACCACTCTATTGAGCTCTGCTGGTAAGTAGGTGCAACCCACTAAAGCTTTAATGATGTTAGACCTTTTTCCTTTGTTTTCTAGACTTGGTCGGAGCTTCAGGTTCTGCTTCAGGTTGCTTCTCCTCCTCTGGCAGTGATGAAGGCTCGTCCCCAGCATCCGTCAGGGAGGGTGTGCAGAGAGAAGCTTCAATCTCTGGTGACCAGAAACAGAATGGGGAAGGAAATAAGCGTGTATTTAAATCTGAAATAAATGATTTATTCTGTTGGTGATACGTTTTAAGGCAGGGTCATTATGAAATACAGACTAATATATTTATTTTTAAAAAGGGACACTATTGTAGTGGAAACGACACCTGTTGAGTCAAGAATGCTTGCATCGTGAGGTAAATTAGATTTAAGAGACTTTTTAATGCTACTTTGACTTAAAATGTAAGACTTAAGTTTAAAATAACCGAATTGTAGGAAAAAACTAAATCAATGAGTTGGAGGATTTACTTAAAATGTTGAAATAAATCCAACATAAAGTGGAACAAATTATTTAAAATATTGGCAATTATTTTGTAATTTTAAGGATACAAAGATATCTCTGCAGCTATCGTCCCATTTCCCTTCTCAATAAAAACAAAAAGAAAGGGCAGAGAACTATTTTTTGTGATGGAGAATCAGTTTGACATATCTTAGCATTTTTAAGACTGTAAAAAGATCCAAGACATTTAAAAACAAATCAAGGCTTGGATGAATTAGTTCAACGCCTTAAGGGTCTGCTGGAGTTTGAATATTGATTATGTGGTTTTGCATGGGTAACGATAACCAACAGAGACCAAACACAAAAGTTAATGTTCTGTCTTTGATACTCGCAAACACAGTTTTAACTACGGATGCTCCGATCGATCGGCCGATACGATTGGTGCTCTCTAAAAATGCCGATCGCGAGAGCTGATCGCATGACTACATGACACTTTTCTCTGTGCGCGGCAAAACAAGCTCGCCAAAATGGCTTCACCAGTCTGGCAGTATTTTAAGGTGTCCGAAAATGACAATAAAATAGCGGTATGCAACGTGTGTGTGAAGCAGAAATCCTGCAGCTCCACCCGCTGTGACGGACCGGTGAGCGGAGCAGAACACACGAGAGTTAGACCTAACACACTTAGCTATTTGATCTACCTCTGGAACAAGCTAAACTAGTTATAATATATTTATTCTTCACTGTCGGGTCACTCATTACTGGATCAGTGAGCTGCATGAGACGATACTGACAGGCTGTCAGGAGAGAGAGAGAGGGAGAGAGAGAGAGAGGGGGAGAGAGAGGGAGAGAGAGAGGGAGGGAGAGAATGAGAGGGAGAGGAAAAAAGAATGCTTCCGCTCATTTCTCCCGTGTTATTATCCAAAGTTAATGTAAACTTGAATAATGTCATAATGATGTTGGTTGTTGTTTGTGGAAGCTCCAGTGAATGAGCCCCATTAACTGAGTTTTAAACATCACTTTTAAATGGAAGATCGCCATAGGCCCCGCCTACTCGATCGGAGCATCCCTAGTTTTAACATCCATGATATTCCCCGTTTTCTACACTCCTGGCATTTAACTTGCTTTCTAAAGTCGACCCCAAATAAGAAACCTGAGCAGTTTGATCACTACTCATTTCCTGTTAAGACAGTTTGACACTGGAATGTGTAAGGAGAGGGGAGAAGTAGAGATAAAGACATGACGTTTAGTGACAATGAAAGAAAAACATGACAGTATTCACCTGTCAGACTGTTAGAGAGACACTCCTCGTGGAAAGCAGTGTCTAACGTTAGCGGCTGTTGGTCCCACGTCCTCTCTGATAACAAAGGGAAAGAGCTGTTATCATACAAACAGAGAGACAGTGTCAGGGAGGTGATCTCTGGGCCCATAGATCTCGGCCTCCGTTACGGGTTGTGTAGCTTCATTGTTGTTGATTGTGTTCACCTGGTGCCCTGTGTTGTCTCCTCCCCCCCTCACAGTATCTTGTTGATTGATTAGTGTGTGTGTATTTAGGCTCTGTTTTCCCTGTCAGTGGACAGGTAGTGTGTGTGAGATCCTTGTTGCTGGTGACTGTGTTCACATGAGACAGTAAGATTGAGGATGTGTCATGTACCACAAGGAGTAATAAATGCCCACACCGGGTTATATTTGAACTCTCTGGCCGTTTCTCAATCACGAGGATATTGGCTTCCAAGCCGATAGGACTGTTCCAATCTCCAGCATACTTGGAATTCCACCGAGGCCGCGGGTGTTTCTCAATCTCGAGTAAAGCTGCTCCAGAGCCACTATTTCAAGCATACTACGTCATCGAGTGCCGCCGAAGTACTGTTCCAATCTCCAGTATACTTGGAAATCTACCGAGCCCGGCGTACTCCGTTTGGAGAAATATCGAGGCTGCACATGAGTAGACTCCGCGGTCTTAAAATCCCCACAATGCTTTGCGCATGGACCAATTTCCCCAAATCTGTGGCGGAAAATGTAAGGGGCGGGGCCTCTCATATGACGCACACCTGCACACTTGCTAGCGTGTTCCACTCTTTGTTTTCCGAATGCCAGGAAGTATTCTTGCCTTGCTTCTGAAGCAAGATGCTCGGCTCGGCTGTGCTACCAAGCCAGCATCCTCGCGATTGAGAAACGGCCTCTGCCTCCTTGCTTGGTCGGGCCGCTCAACGGTCAGCCTCACAGACAATAACTAAGAGTAAACAAAGTGTAATAACCCACCTGTATCTTCTGTTACTTCAGCGTCAATATCCTCCATTGAAGGGAAAACGATCTAGAGAAAAACAATTGAGTTAAATGCTGGATGTAACTTAAGCTATATCCTGGTTCTTATAAGTGACATACAATGATTAAACAACTCAAACATCTTATATCTAAACTGTATTCGGGGTAATATCATGAAGTATATATGAACAAAAAAGCCAGTGTACTATATTCCATTTTTTCTTTTTAAACAATGAACTGTTTTAGGCCGCACAATTTGAAAATGATTATTTTTATTTATATTACTATTATTTTAGTTGCAATTAGTTTGACCAATAGGAATGATACATGTTGCAACATTATTCACATTATCATAGAAAAATGTACACTGATCATGTTTTGCTTTTTAGTACCATACAATGATTTTATTACGACTATAGACTAATAAAAAACAGTCCTAGTATGTTATGTGGATGTTTGCAGCTGAGAGCGATCGTGATTATCCAGGTAATTAACTGTACATTTGAATGTTAAAACTATTTTTTACGTTATGTATAGATCAGTATAACACTATGCTAGCATCACAGAAACGTCTACTCATCTTAAAGGTCCCCTAATACACTGTTTTTCATCAATACATTATAGGTCTCAGATATATACAGAACCTGTCTCTGATTGGCTGAAACACCAAACAGATCATTGCAGCATCCCATAATCCCCTCTGTTTCAGCCCTGTTTCAAAAGTGCTGATTCTCTGTCTGTTACTTTAGATGAAAATAAGGAGCCCCTCCCCACGCCCCTCTGAGAGATATTTGGTTAGAAAGAACACAATGGTGCTCTAGGAGGAGACTCAGGTGATAAGGTGGGGGGGGGGGGCTACCTTGGTTGGTGATTGGCTAATGGTTAGACAAGCCAACAAATCGTTATGACATCATAAAGTGTCCAAAATTTGATCAGCTCATTTTCAGACAGGTTTTTATATAAATGGATCAGGACAAAAAGAGAGAGAATCTTTGTTCCTGAAACTTCCAGAGTCTCTTTACACAGAGGGGACACATGTTGATGTAGAAGAGACATGAAGAAGAGGGGACACATGTTGATGTAGAAGAGACATGAACAAGTGGATTTTGCACAATAGGGGAACTTTAAAACATTTCTAGCAGCGCCTATACCTTTCCTCCCTCCTCCTCCTCCTGAGGGTCTTCTTCCACCGACGGCACTCTGCGGTTGCGAGGTATGGCGAGTGTCGGCGAGGCTCCGAAATCCGTGGGGCTGCTGAGGTCCCGCTGAGTTTGTGGCGTTTGGGATTCGATCCTCTGCGGGGTCTTCAGCACCGAGCGCGGGTGTAAGCTCCACCGAGGTGTGGGGGCTCGGGCTGGGGTGGACCCCTTCTTTAACGGGGTGCTGGGGGGCAGCGCCTTATCAAAGAACTCAGGAGAGAGCGGACATCCAAAGCGCACACTTTTCTTCTTTGTCTTAAACGCATCCTCTCCTGAAAAGACAGAAACACTTTAACTGCAGCCATTGACCTTTACTCCGTGTAGAGGCAGAGGGGAAAGATACTTTGCTATTCACTCCTGGTGTTTTATTATTGGACCATGTCATGGTAGCTAGAGACATATAACAAGAAATGGAATAAAGGACATCATCTATTGCAGTGGTTCTCAACTGGTGGGTCGCGGACCTGTTTCGAGTGGGTCGCAGATGTGTGGGTGAAGAAAAAATTATTTAATTCTTTTTTTTTTGTGGAAAAAAGTCTTTTATTTTGAAGGCCCGATTTTCTAACGCTGTGCATGCAGTGGGCGTTGGGACTGGAAGTACCGGAGACCATAAACGGTTTTGAAAACTTCTGTCACGTAGTGATCATCTTCTCAATAAAGCATCTTTGCTGATGTTTTTTCGAGTCTTCTGGCCAATCAGAATCAAGATTGTTGCCGGAAGTCCCCACGGAGAATAACTTTGTGGTAGAACTATTCTTTATACATCCATGGGTACAACTTCAGATACAAATGAACACATAATGAAATATGACCCCCGGTTTGATGATTGACAGCTCACAGAACAATGGGGGCTATCTACCCTTACCCACAATTGAAAGTAATTCACACAGACTATCTACTCTTTGCTCTTCTCTCTGTGTGGAGCAGCAAGCTGTCCGAACAAAGTGAAAAACAAACAATGGCATAACATATTATTAATATGTCGGGTAGGAATAGATGTATTTATTTTCTTCTCAGAGTGTACCAGAATGCGTAGTTTATATGTTAGTATTTCTAAAAATCTCCTGGGGGAGAATCCCCCCAGACCCCCTGCTGGGGTTGGGTTTTCAGCATGTGGGCCTCTCTATGTTATACAGTTCAGCTTTGATTCCATCATCTCATTAAACCTTTTTTAAAAGCATACTTTAGTTCTGTGAAGGGATATAAGGGATATATGCACTGTACTTCACTTTCATTAATAGTGTATGCTGAAAGGCGTATATATATATATATATATATATATATTACAGCACCATTTCTTGTTGAATAAATACGAGTGGTTCAAAATTTCGGGTCGTGATTTATTGGCAAAAGGAAAAAGTGGGTCCCGAGGCCTGACCAGTTGAGAACCACTGCTCTATTGTATTTTAAATGACATACATGACATTTTCTTAACTTAAAAATGCAAAACTAAACACTTAACTTTGATTGACCTTATTGCTTTCTATCAACTAAATATATCCTCAACACTGAATAAATACACTCTAACTCCAACACAGGAAACTCAAATTCTGTGAACTTCCTGTCTGAAAATACAACTGAATATTTCCCTGAAGACACTGCAGGTTGTTATCTGTGCATAAAGCGAACCTCAAAGGCAGAGTTGAGCTGAGATTAAAGGGCTGTTACTCATGCATTGCCACAGTGCTGTGTTTACCTGGGGGCTTCATCTCCTGCAGAGAGGGGAGGGAGAAGGGGGAGAAAGGCAGGGATGGAGAAGCGGCTGAAGCTTCATCAGGTGGTGTCTGACCAGAGCTTTGGAGTTCAAAGACCCCGTCCTGTTGAGAGAGAATACATTAGGCCCACCTTCTGTTGCACTATAGTTCAAGGAGCTTCACAGAACAGGCTAATAAACCCCCCTTAAAAAGGTCCCCTATTATACTGCTTTTCATCAATATATTATAGGTCTATACAGAACATATCTCTGAAGTGTTTGGCTCCAAACACCAAACAGATCATTGCAGCATCCCATAATCCCCTCTGTTTCAGCCCTGGTTCAAAAGTGCTGATTCTCTGTCTGTTACTTTAGATGAAAATAAGGAGCCACTCCCCACGCCCCTCTGAGAGATATTTGGTTAAAAAGAACACAATGGTGCTCTAGGAGGAGATTCAGGTGATAAGGTGGGTTACCTTGGTTGCTGATTGGCTAATGGTTACACAAGCCAAAAAATTGTTATGACATCATAAAGTGTTTCAGACAGGTTTTTATATAAATGGATCAGGACAAAAAGAGAGAGAATCTTTTTTCCTGAAACTTTCAGAGTCTCTTTACACATGGTTATGTAGAAGAGACATGGAAAAGTGGATTTTTTCATAATAGGGGACCTTTAACTTGGGTTTTCAACAAAGAAAGGAAGAAATAACAGTTTCAGAAAATGAGATGGGAGTCTTTTTCGCAACAAAATCAAGGACTAGAAGGTGTGTCAGAATGGCACATTTAATTAGCATATCTTATTTGTTAATTTATTTGGCCATTTAGCATATATCTGAAGGTGGCTGAAACAGTGTTAGCAGTTTTGAAACATACAGTAACGTCTTATAGGAGTTTTTTTGTGCATAGTACAAGGAAGAGTCCAATTAAGTTACAAAGATTGCACTCTATACTAATTATTGCCACCAAAAAGTTTGAAATGCTAACGGAAAAAAGATTGACCGCTATGGAAAAGTTCAGTATCCACGTTGGGGATAAGGTTCCTTTGCATATTGGACAGCGATTTTGGTGTTTTTATGACATTCAGTTTATGAAAAGTCCAGACATCTCTACCTTTAGCAGAGAAATGTTAAAACACTCTCTAGCGACAAACGACGTGGATACACAAGTCAGAATCGTCAAGTTCATTCATTTTAGGGGACATAAACATAATAAAAACATGTCGTTAAGTGGAGGAAGGGTTTAAGTATGAGGTTTTGTGTAAAAAAAACTGATTCATCTTATTATCTAACTCTTGGTTTCCTTTATATCTCTATACTATAATATTTAAAACTGACCCAGAAACAAAAACATGTCGTAAGATCTCGTCTGTAAACGGATTGTTTTTAGCAACAGCTGTCAGCACTGACCTAAGTGACAAAAGCTTGATTTGACTGCTAGCTAAAAAGAGCTAAAATGTTTGTCGTGGCAGAAATAGCACGGAAATGGTTACAGGGCTCGACATTAGAAATGGCCCGGAAGCACTATTTAGACACCCCGGGCCAGCATAACGTACTTTCCACTTGCCCGCTCAAAATATTGCTTTAAAAAAAATGGTCCTGTGGTATTGGTATTTTGACAAGCAATATTGTTAAATTGTTTCGTTTATTAACGCTACAACATAGCGTTTCGTGCGGCGGTTGTCGTTGTTGGGTGAAAAGCAAGCGTGAGCGGGAGCGCGCTCGTTCACTACAGACTTTCTCGCCACCTAACCATTCGCCAAAATGTTTTTAATACCAGCGGTAACCGGCCAAGCGTCGGGCAAAAAACAATCTTCAAATAAAAGAATGTCACCGGAAGAGTTAAAGGAGATTGACAGGGAGTATGAGAAGAAGAGGGAGAGAACGTTTTAGCCAGCTTGATCGATGGAGTTGGCTTCAATATGATGCCAATATAAACAAGGTCTTTAGTCGGCTCTGTACATCAATGCCGACCTATGCTGACAAGCAAGTGAAGAGGAGAAAATATAAAAGGTATTGGCTATAGGGAAATGTCCCAGCTGTTTAGGATAATGAAGGTTCTAATCTATTACATTATAGCCATTACATGTCTAACTCCTAATGACAGGAAGGCAGAAAGCGCATTATACAATAATAATACTCATAATAGCAGACACTTTTTAACAATGACCACAATATAATTATTTTAATAAACCAAATATGAACAATTAAGGAAAATGAGGAAGAACTGATGATTACAATGTTGTTGTCGTGATAATGAAATTCCACTTTTTACCCTTAATGTCTACCCCTGAGTTAGCATTAGCGCCATCACATTAAATACAGCTGTAGTAAAGTGGATCGGTAAACAGAGGCCTGTCATGTCTTAGAAAATGAAAGTAAGAACATAAGGACAAGCGGAAACACTCCAGACCACAGAGTACTTAAAACTGTCACGGTAACATTTCTAAACGTGGTGTTTTCTCTCTTGTTGTCTGCATGACCAGACGTCCTGAGCCTTTTAGGGAAAGACAGCAGTTTGTGGGGGAGGAGACGGTCACAATATTGTAGGTCTGCCTTGTTGTCACCTGCTGTGTGGCTGCAGTGGAGAGGCTTATGATTACTGCTTGTGCCGCCACGCTGCCACGGATGTGTGCTACCCTGAGACTGTGGGCAAAGGCCATTACACGCTTCATTTAGGAAATTGTGAGCTTGGTTAGTTAACCTTACAGATATCATCCAAGTCACTTCCCTTTGGCAGATAAAAAACGCTTGAATCTGCTTGTGCTTGTGTCTATTGTCGGCCTGTTTGTGTTAGAGAGCGACTGAGCTCTACAGAGAATTAAAAACAACCCATTCGATATGATAATGAGGAAAAAAAGGAAAATCTACGTCCGTTTTTAAACAGGGATTTCAATTAGCACCCATTTTCAAATATTGTCTGTGGCAGGTAAACATTTCTTGGCAGGTAGGTTTCCTTATAGACGAGAGCAGAGGTATGACACTGCCTGGTGTAGTTTTATCATACCTTAAAGCTGCTATGTCATATATTGCCTTCATGCCTCCACAGAAAAGATGAAAAGCGTAAGCAACACGTCAGTTAATTTGTTTTTATCTGAGGGCAACAGTTTAATTTAGATTGAGGTTAACATCAATCGTGAAACGGCTGTAATGTGATGAGTGAAAGGAGTATATGTAGATGCTGCACTAAGGCGTTGTGCACACGGGAATGTTTGCGTTTATGCACAGTATGCGTTTTCAAAAAAGTCTTCCGTTCACACGCATTCGTTTCATTTAACGTGTCTGTTCAAACGAGACCGCTGGACACGCTGTAGTACATATGCCGGGACTGTAAGTGGCGCTGTAACTTCCGCCACAAAATACACCAAAAGCAGCGAAGAAGACACCGGAGCAGCCCTGCAGCAATGTTGCCATGGCTACCCTTCTGTTTATGCCCCGCGGTGGATTTAGCAACATGTCGTTCATGTAATTCTCCATGTCCACTTGTTGCTGATGGTTGTGGTAGAGGAGCTGTAGATTTTGCACTAACATATGTAGCATGGTCAGTAGCAGTAGCACTAGCAGTAGCTACTGACAGGAGGAAGTGTGTGTGGCGATTGCTGGTATTGAGCGGGATATAGTAATTTCCTCAGCATGTAAATATATGGATAAATGCAACGGGGAAGTTAACTGAAAGAAACCGAATCTGTGGATATTGCATCGACCGACCAAGAAGCACGTCTCCGTGGAGAGGACGCGCTCAGAAAGAGAGATATTCTCTACAAACACCGGGTGAGATCGCTCCTCTGGGACACGCCGGTCCTCGTGTTTCCTTTTTTTGTGTGGATTATAGCCTGAATAGGCCTACAAACATTTCTCTTTTTTCCGCCGACGGGCGCAGGAGCAATGAACAATAATGGCCTGGATTAGGCAGTAAAGACAATTTTGGTGTATCGCAGAGCGGACTGTTTAATTTTGTTTGTGTTGTTTGGCTGGAAAATTGTCAATATAATGGATCAATGCATGAAATCTGACTCTGTTTATTTTGTTTAAGGAGTATATTGGGCGTTAACAATTCTGGTTTGCCTTTTATAATATTATTTCATTCAAGAACCCCTTGTGCGTTTAATTAACACAGCTATTTTTGATAGTTGATCGTTACAGATGGCTACTGGCCATGCTACAGCAGTGAGGTGGGGAGAGGTGGGGAGAGGTGGGGCTATCATTATTTTTTCAGGAAATATTCGTATAGAGGTGATTACACGGACTCGTTTGACCCCCCAGAGCGTTTCGTTTGCAAATCTATCCACCTTGGGACCCGTTATCGTTTGTGGGGTCCGTTTCTATCGGCCTCGTGTAAATAATAGGGCTATACGCAAGAGAAACTATGCAGATACAAGCCATTTTGTCCTCGTGTAAACGGCACCTAAATTGCTGCCTGCCACTCGTCCACCGACGGACTGAAAGACATCGATCCTCTATTGCAGGGGTGTCAAACTCAAATACACAGTGGGCCAAAATAAAAAAAATGGGTACTAGTCGAGGGCCGGACTGGTTCAATGTTTATTGCAAAACTTATTGAAATGAACTTATTGCACATATTAAACCTGGAACTAACAAAGCTTAAATTATTGCCTATAAAAACAACATTAAACATTAAATAATCTGTTGCATTCATTTCTTATGGCTCTATCTGCAGCTTTTCCAGAGTCATTTCTTATGATTACATTTTTCCACAGGCCAACAACAGCTTCAGAAAAACTATTTCCCTCAAAGAGAAAACCAAACATGCCCTGTTGTCGCAAGAAAGAAAGTGCAGAAGGAAACATCCATGTAAACTCAGTGTGCTGCTCTGTGATGCTAGTTCAAGCCAGATACTTGGCATCTCATCTTGGGTGCAAGGTCATCAATGTTTGGGCTCAGGCTCTGAGCTGAGGAAACCCTCAGGATGGACTGAAGGTGTGCGTGCAATATACCGGCGGGCCAGATCTAATAGTAATTCAAAATTATCCTGCGGGCCGAAATTAAATCCACCAAGGGCCTGATTTGGCCCCCGGGCCTTGAGTTTGACACATGTGATCTATTGTTTTTAAATTGTCATATATTGCCGCCAATCATCAATCCTTAATGAGATCGTCTAATTCAAGGTTCAAAGCTTTTATTGGTCATTCGTACATAGCTACAGTGTAGTTATGACGATGACAATCTTAGGTCACATGCTCCTCCAACAGTGCAACACAATAAAACTGAAAAAATAGTGCGAGTAAATACAAAAAGAAAAATAGTGAAATAGTGATAAATAATTTCTAAATTGCAGTTAGATGAATGTTATGGATGTTGTTTCAAAAGTTCAGGTGTTTAACAGTCTAATTGTTTGCCAATGGATCATTGCGTTTGGGCCCCTTGTAGATACACAAATGCACAGTATCCTTGTTATTTGAATATGACTGGCAAAGACCGCAAAAGACCCAGATGGATTTCTCTCATGTATTTTAGAAATTATTTATTCTTTCTAAATGAAAATTCCTAAATTAAACATAGTCAGGGAGTTAGACTACTTGATATATTCCATATTTTTATACTGTCTGGTTCCAGTGACTCAGCGTTTACAATTATTCTAAATCGTTCTACAGAGATTTCAGAAGCGGTAGACAAATAAAATATTGAATGTCGGGGTTACATTTCCAGTGACCTGCTACAGTGGCGATCAAGGTTTAAATTGTGGCCGGCCGCCATGAACACATAAATGTTTATACTTAAACTAATACAACAAGTCTTGTAGTCTGCTAGTATTTACCGTACCGTATTTATTTTTTTACTTAAAAAATAGTAAGGTCATTCTGTTAGTCAGATGGGATTGTCACAAGGGGAAGGCATGTGAGCAGAATCACACAAGTCTACATTCATTTCTCAGGGAGTCACTTCTAAAGGTTGTGTGCACGTGTGTGTGTGTGTGTGTGTGTGTGTGTGTGTGTGTGTGTGTGTGGTGCAGTGTGTGTGTGTTGCAGTGTGTGTGTGTGTGTGTTGCAGTGTGTGTGTTGCAGTGTGTGTGTGTTGCAGTGTGTGTGTGTTGCAGTGTGTGTGTTGCAGTGTGTGTGTTGCAGTGTGTGTGTTGCAGTGTGTGTGGGTGTGTGTGTGTGTTGCTGTGTGTGTTGCTGTGTGTGTTGCAGTGTGTGTGTGTGTGCTGCTGTGTGTGTGTGTTGCAGTGTGTGTTGCAGTGTGTGTGTGTTGCAGTGTGTGTGTGTGTGCGTGTGTTGCAGTGTGTGTGTGTGTGTTGCAGTGTGTGTGTGTGTGTTGCAGTGTGTGTGTGTGTGTTGCAGTGTGTGTGTTGCAGTGTGTGTTACAGTGTGTGTGTTGCAGTGTATGTGTGTTGCAGTGTGTGTGTGTTGCAGTGTGTGTGTGTGTTGCAGTGTGTGTGTGTGTTGCAGTGTGTGTGTGTGTTGCAGTGTGTGTGTGTGTGTTGCAGTGTGTGTGTGTGTTGCAGTGTGTGTGTGTGTGTTGCAGTGTGTGTGTGTGTGTTGCAGTGTGTGTGTGTGTTGCAGTGTGTGTGTGTTGCAGTGTGTGTGTGTGTGTTGCAGTGTGTGTTGCAGTGTGTGTGTGTTGCAGTGTGTGTGTGTTGCAGTGTGTGTGTGTTGCAGTGTGTGTGTGTGTGTGTGTATCGCAGTGTGTGTGTGTGTGTGTGTGTGTGTGTCGCAGTGTGTGTTAGGATCTAACCTGTTGGTTCTTAGCATGGGAACAGGCGAGGATCTCAAAGTCATCGTGAAGGTTTTGGGATACAAGCAGAGCGTGGGCCTCGTGCACAGTTTCACTGGGTGTCAGCGTCCCTGTTTCTTCCTTCTCCTGTGGATATAAATAAGGAACTCACACTGTTTTTATTCTGCTTCACAGCACCACGACAGCAAGAACACAATATTTATGTGGATACAGGAAATGGGAATTTATCAAACTGCTGTTTTAGTGCTTTGAGGGATACAGAAAACTTGATATTGCACTTTACGAATAGAAGCTTTAGACAAAGACAAAACAAATGTGATGATAAATAAATAAACGTCAGCACTTTGTGAGTTTGTCTCTTTTTGGATGCTGAAAAGTTCACTGAAAACTAGCGTTCAGTTAAAAATAAATCAGCAGATTCAATGGAGGCGGAGTACGGAGAGGGAAAACCTTTTAGGTAAATTATTTAAAGCAGTCAAGTTAAACGCAGAGTCAGACTGAGTGTACCTCCTGCTCCTTCAAACTGAAGGGGAGGGTATGAGCCTCTCTAAACTCCATCCCGCAGCCCTGCAGGGGCCCCAGGCACCTGCTCTTGCTGGGTGGCGTCACTGGGTGGTGGTTCTCCTTCCCTTCATAAGGGCTGTTCCCATCTGACAGGGATACAAACAAACATGGAAATAACATGTAAACAAATGGGACTTTGGGACACCTCGGTGAAAGATAAAACAGCACATATCAAATAAACATATCGTAACAGCTTGAATTCCAACTTTGAAGAAAAGTTGATCAAAGCACGGGAGACAACGTTTCACTTCGGCATCAAACAGCTCAGAAACGTGTTGTTTATGACGCTAATCAGAAGGAAAGTCTGCGGTAACAGAGTTTACACTGATCTGTGCATTAATCCACCGCCTCCAGACATCATAATAAAACCCTACTGGCATAGATCCTTGTTGAGGAATGAAACTATTAATCGTGTAGCAATGAGGCGGCCTCACCAGACAGATAATCTCTTGTCTTGATGCATCCTCCAGTGTTGCTGTCCTGCTTTGGCACGGGATCACAGATCACACTCTCCTCCATATCCATCAGGCTCTGGAAGGAGGCCATCTTCTGCCTCAGTGTGGCGTTCACTCGGGGAAGTAAAGGCCCACTCCTGACGGGCTGAGGAGAAACAAACACATTCGCTCAGTGATGAAGGCTGACAGGCCATACACTCCTGAAATTACACGAGTGGTATTACCGACAGGCAGCACATCGATCACATACTACACACACTGTCCATATATAATACAAGTTATCCGAGCAATGCTTCTTCTTACAGTTACGTCACAATATTCTTTCAATTAGGATAACACATTAGTTAAAAAATGCTTTCCTTCAAGCGTCATTTGACTCTAAACGGATTTGTATTTATTAAGTTATTTCACAACTAGGGAAAGTGCACATTAATAAACATTGCTGTAAATGCACTTGTGTTTGTAAAGAGGCTAATTTGAATGTGTAGTCCCTGGTCAGATCATTCAGTCGCCCTAAAAACTAATTATAATATTGAAAAAAGTGATCACAATTCATTAAAAAAGTGCAACAAAGGGGACTCCATATAAAGGGAATGCAAATAAAAACAAACTTAGAAAGCGACAGGTTGCATTAGACAGAAGTACAGACAGACAGTGGACAGTATATTGCAATTTATATAATTAAATGTTTGGATCCTTCAGTGTCACTCGCCCGCTGCAAGACTAGATATTTGGTTTTCTGGATTGAACAAACGGCCAAAAACACAAACTTCTTAAACCACCTCTGCATCATACTGCACTTCTAAACTCTCCATTTATATTCTCACTGGGTTCCAAACATTCACAGTTCACGTACATATGGCTATATGCAAAGCTCTCAATTGGGATCCTTATCATAAGCCATGTGCTGGTGAGCAGACTCATGTCATTGGCTAATGTGCCAAGAGCCCAGCTCCTGTCCTTGATTGGTCAGAAACATATTATCTTAACCAGTTAAACCCCACAGGAGCAAAACGCAACATCTTGCAAGAAACAGCGTCTGAGGGCTTCTTAACATTTAATAAACTATGAATGTGTCATACTCACTTAACGGGAAGAAACTCAGCTTTCAGACGATATTAACCATTTTTAGCTAAACGAAACAAAAGGGTAATAACAAAGGCTCTGAATTAGCCCTGAGCGAAAAAATGCTAACGCACAGAACTCACGGTAAAATACCCTTATTACTTATCGGATCTGCACAAACAAGATATTGATTAGCAAGCTGAGATTCCACAGATTCCAGAAATATAAGTATCACCACTGAGCGATCAGAACTCGTAACAGGGGAAACAAATCCAGACATCCCACCACGTAGCATTACGGAGCAAACGCGGGAGAAATGTCTCACCTTTTGCTGTTTCTGATCAAAAGTTGTGTTCAATGGCATTAAAACGACAAACACGCTGCTGAAGGTTAATCCAATGTGTCTGAAATGATTACTGATAATCCATCACCATTTTTATGTCAATAACGGAGTTTTTATATTAGCGGCTACGAGAGTATATAACAGCTTCCGGTTTTGGGCGTTCTGGCTACGCATCACTCATTCACCAATGGGTAATGTTTAGATGGATTTTAGGAACTTCCCCTCGATTCTATTGGCTCTAACGGTTCAAAAGTCAATCATCAAAATCGACCGACGGGGGCCAGAGATATGGAAAACGCACCCAAATGACCCCAGAAGTGGTTTTTTTCTCTAAATCTCTCTAAAGAGGTCAAATGTCACTTGTTTTGCATCAATCTTGACACAGGGTACTTATTATATGTTATAGTTTGGATTCCTAAAGCTTTTAGTCTACTAACCCATCATTCAAGGCTGGTTTTCACTATAAGTAATGGGGTTTTTTTTTTTAAGGAAACTATAATTTACATTTTTCTTACTATGTTCAATTTGAATTTACTTTAAAATAAAAACATCTATATTGATTCTGACTCTTCTACATCCAACTCACAGGTTTATCATTGCTTTGAGAAAAAAGATTATTAATTTACCCCCTTTTAGAAGTGAAGATATAGTCAATTGTTCTGGGAATGTCATTTTCGAGCCTGAGGCCTGAAAAACAGGCTCAGGGCTCAACAGGTTCTTAAGCAATGAGTTAGCTAGTGTAGAACTCTCCTTAATGATGTTGTCATATAGACTTCAGCTTAACACATGTTATGCTAAATTAAGAAGCGTTTAGTATGTCTCAAATGATCAGAACTGTGAACATATGCTGATGTTAACCAACTTTTAACAGCAGAAATAATCCATAAAAAAAGTAGAATCAGATGTTGTCTATTGTTAGTTTACCAAAAATATGCTTTAGGGAAAGAAGTGGATTATGGGGTAAAAATGTCTTTAAAACTGTAATTGGATGTTTTTTTATATTTGTTTTAATGCTATAGAGACATGTTACTGTTATATTACACTCACTGTGTCTGACCAATAACTTGTAATATCCACTCTCAGGCCTAAAGGGTGCAAGTCTTTGATTATTAAATATTGGGTGAGGGATCACTTTCATGAGCTCTCTATTCGGCGGTTACTTTAGAAGTATGGAAACCTTGCGAGTCCTGGCGAAGATAGGCAGCAGCACAGTTACAGAACACAAATAAAAACAATAACAGAGAACATAAATGGCCACACTCAGAGCGTCATCATAAAAAGCATCTACAGACAGAGCTGCTGCTTCTCGGTCATTAGGAAGTACTTTAAACTTGTTTAGAGGGACCAGCTCCCTGAGATTCAGTTAGTGTTGCAGCTGGTTCCAAGCAAACGGAGCAGCTTTATTTAAAAGCATTCGCTAGTTCAAACAATCCATCAATTTCTGCTCTGTTTATTTGCTGCTTTCAACTAATAGCAGTCAACACAGGGGGAAACACTTATCTCACTGTATGCTAATGAAAAATTAATGTGTGTATTTGGTACCAGATCAAAATAAGCTAATCTTACATAAACTCTGAAGGCTCCTTTTGAAGCTGGAGTGAAATGGCCTGAAAGAAAGTTATTTAACCGAGTGCACATACAGCATATTAATATTTACTGTGGATGTGCAATACTGCTATTCGTGTAAAACTGTTAGTAGTAATGGCAGTGAGGCCAGTCTTTGTATGCATCTGATGATGAAAAAAACGCCACACGGTCACATACAGAATCAGTAATAGATGTCGGTTTCAATATTTGATCACAGAGAGCCCATCAAACGCCTGGCTGCAATCTGAACATTGCCTCACACTCCAATATGATGTGGCAGCAGGGGTGCAAGATTTTCTCATCTGCACCCTGAGAAAGATCTCACCTCTGGAGTTCTGGAGCCTAGCGGAGTCTTCATCCTCTGCTGTGCAATGAAGCGGATCAGGGAGTTGGTCTCTGGGGAGCCTCGGACACCAACGGAGGACCTCCGCCTAGCCTTCATTTGTGCCAGACGAGACTTATCTATAGAAGAGGGATAAGAATGACACTTCAGTAAAAATCAATAGTTGCCGTACGCAGGAAATACAAAATTCCCTGTGATGTTTTTTTGCCTCTGATTGAACGCCTCAGTGGTGCTGTATAGTGCTGAATTTGGTTGTTAGTACGTTTATTTTTGGAAGGTGTACATACAAATATTACTGATTATAAAAAGACCTACAGTAAATGTAAAAATCTATGGTTTCTAACAGTTGTGTCTGATATATACAAAGTAAACACGCATGTAAACAAGCAGATTAACATAAAATAAAGATCAGTGCTCTCACCTTTGTGGTTTGGTAATGACGTAGGAGTAAAGCTGTGGACAGAGATGCCAAACTGACTAGGCGTGAGGTTGGAGAACATCATGGGGGCGGTGGTGTCATTTAAAACCGGATGAGAGTCCAATTTTGAGGGGGTCAACATGTTCTCCTTCTGATCTCCATCAGTGCTAGCAGTGTTATTTTCCAAGGTAGCCATCTGCATAGACAATTTGAAAACAGCTTAATTACACCATGAGCAAATGTAACATGGGATCACATTGGTTGTTAGTAGTATCGACAAGGGGAAATGTAACATGGTTAACAGGTGGCTAAAGTCATCTGTATCTTCTACAGAGGAGGAAAAATAACTGAACTTAAAAGTAGAACTACCAGGGTGTAGGAATACTCTGGTAGTAAAAGTCCTGCAATGAAAATGTTACTCAAGTTAAAGTACAAAAGTATTAGCATTAAAATATACTTTAAGTCCCAACAGTAAAAGTATTCATTATGCAGATTGGCCAATTACAGAATAATGTATATAGTATTATATATTGATGCATTAACTTGTTTATCAATGATGGTAACGGTGCAGCTAGTTTTAATTACTTTGTATACTGCAGGGTAGCTAGTTAACATTACTCCAGGTGTAACTAAAGTATTATTTAAGTGTTGATTACATTTCACATTATTGATCAAAATGTGCAAAGAAACTAAGACATTAAATAAATGTAGTGGGGGACAAGTACATGATTTACCTCTGAACTGTAGTGGAGTAGAAGTAGTAAGTAGCAGACAATTGAAATACTCAAGTAAAGTACAAGTAACTCAAAACTGTGCTTAAGTAAATGTACTTTTTACATCACTGATTTTCTTAATATTTAGTTATTCAGGCTCATGCTTATAGGTCATAACAGTTAACCGTCGTGTGAATTAAACATGTATGTGAGAATCACTTCATGATAAAGTCAATAACGTTTAAAAAATAGTAATGTTTCAATTACTTTTCCCAGCATGCTACTTATAAAGTAAGCTAGCATCCTGCTAACATTAACAAACTCTGCTAACACTTGGCAACCTTTGGCTAGCTCAAAATACCCAGCGTGTTCTTCATAATAAATGAACGAGTATTGAATGGATGATTAACTAAATCATAAAGTATTACACAGGTTAAATAAACACAGTAGATATCTACAAGTGACCTAACGTTTTTATCGCCAACTATCTCTGAAAATTAGCACGAATGCTAATTGTTGATTAGCTTCCCTTCTCTTTATATGGGACGTTAGCTCACAGTTAACATCATAAGGTGACAATGCTTACCTGGCAAATAATAGTGATGTCTCCTGCGTGTATTTATAACAATACAAAAATGGAAAACACATGTATTGCTAACTGTGTTATAAAAAAATAAAAAACATCTCAATACATGTTTGAGGTTAAGAATACAAACGATAAAATCCGAGAGCAATTCAAATCTCGCTCCAAACGAGAGCCAGTGCGTAAGATCCCTCCGCCAGTCTTTTCACTTATAGAACTTCAAAAAAATGCCATGTATTTTGTATCCTTGTCAACAAATATAGAATATTAATAACAAAGACATGTATTAGTAAAACAAAATGTCGATATAAAGTAAGAAACTGTATCGTTGGGAGGGAACTAACTTCCGTATTTTTAAAGTCTTGAAAAGCACCGGAACTCGTTTAATATGAATTGACCAATAGAAATGTCCGACACGATATCACGTGACATCAAGAGTCAAATCAGGAAAAACAATACATACACTTAATAAGTTTCCTGCTATTTTCTTGATTATATTAAGAATGTATTTATATGTATTTATGTATTCATTTATCAATCACTTTTTCTTCTTTTTAATCTATTCATTACTTTGGCACCACACTTATACTTACTACTTGTTTACACACATGAAACAAATGAAAGAAGATGATAGATAGATAGATAGATAGATAGATAGATATATATTAATAATATTTACAAAGGGGGATTTTTAATTGCAAAGTCATGATTAATGTGGGTAAATTGGCCACGTACAACAGAAAATGTCATCACTTTATGTAATGCAGCCAACCAGGAAAAGTAACATTTATGCCATGAAACCATAAACACAATTTAAGACAAGATCTAGTTTCATATCACAATATCGAAAAAATAGACCCTACTGTGGGTTTACATAACTTACACAGCATACTATACAATCAACAAGGCCCAGAAGGTGGGTGAACTGTGGTCGACTCTTGGAAAAATCAGTAAAGTCCCCTCACACAAGACAGTCACACACACACACACACACACACACACACACACACACACACACACACACACACACACACACACACACACACACACACACACACACACACACACACACACACACACACACACACACACACACACACACACACACACACACACACACACCACACCGGTTCCATCTTCTGTGAGGTTTTGGAGTGTGTTCCTCGGCTGAGTACACTGACATCAGATGCGACAGTGAGCCTCTCTCCGCAGCTGGGACTGTGGACCACATGAGACGTGTGGCTTCTTCTGTTGACACCAGGCAGGGCTGTGCAAGTTGATGAAAGCTTCTCTGTTCTAGTTCTTGTGCAGCACTGGCTGGGGAAATGAAACAACTCCAGACATCCACAGGTGAAAAAAGACTCTGTGTAGGAGTTCCTGTCCAATGCGAGTTGTTCACAATCCAAAATATATTATTTTGAGAAAAAAGAATGTCCAACACAATACAAACATCTGTATATGAAATAATCAGTCTTCTTATTTTGGGTTTTGAGTTAGGATGTTTCTACACTTTTTTAATTGTCTTTCAGATGAGATACTTCAGGCAAAAGGTTTTCTTTTCATGCACTAGTGAAAAGAATACATCCAAAATACACATTTAGATGTTTGTATGACTAACTTAGTTTATTTACGTCTGTAGATTTATTTCGAGATGTACCAAAAGTTATTTTTAGATTATGCATAATTTGCATATTTATGTAACAATTCAGAGAACCTTGTAATATTGTAATCAACTTGGGACGTTTCATGGTAATATCTGTCAGTGTATTTCTATCCCTTTCCCCTGTAGTGTCCTGCATAATATATCATATTTTCATGGAGTTTTTTCTCATACTCTGAGCCAGATATCTCCTCTTCACTATCACTGGCATACACCACACTTTTCCAGTTACATTCTTCTCTATATTCTGAAGGTTTTTACCAAGGGTATTTTTTCATATATCATTCATAGCCTGATTTACATCAAAATGTTTGCTAAAATGATGTCAAAAGGTTTTAGTTCTTTTCAAATTGCTTTGAGCATTTTCTGATTTGTGGATTTATTCAGAGAGACATCTTGAATTCAATACCCTGTGAAAACCTTTGACTGTTGTACGTCACCAAAATGAAGCAATCTATTGAACCTGGCTTTATGCAAGATTTAGATATCTGTTCTGGAAAAGCATGCAAATATCAGCACAAATTGTTAAGATAATGCCTCATTTGCATATTTCAACTACATTTTACAGAAAACGTATTATACATATTATACATGTATTAAACGTAGTAATTAACTGTGAAAGTTTCATGATGATATTTATTTTTTTAAATGTTTACCCTATTAACCTACTGTGATATATAGGCCTTATTGTCACAGAAGTATATTTTAAATGTTTTAACTGACTATCATTGTCATCATTTTAGGAGTAACACCCTTAAATATCCCTTGTTTTGTTATAAATAAGTTGGTTTGAACTCATTTCAACTTTAATTTAATAAATTACGTGGATATTATAATATTTTTTCATATAAGAAAAAGGGGTTGTGCGTTTGTTGATGTTTTGTATGGCTCTCTGTCTGGAGAAAACACAGGACTTAAACATTTTTATTTCCGTTTCTGTGCTTTCTTATGTCTAATGGAGTCAGTTGTAGCTGCTAGTTAATTAGTTTGTTGTTGTTTATAATGACAATAAATAAATAGCAGTATTTGGTACACTGACCGTTATGTGAAAAATTGGAACATAACTTTAACAAACACAATCACACAACAGGAGTATATCTCTATTTTTATTTGTGTATACATACACATATAAAAAATAAGGGACATATGTACAATGATAATAAATATCAACACGTTTGTACAAGTGAAATAAGTTACTTAACATATTTTAAAAACAAACATAAAAGATCATTAACAGACGAGCAAAAATGGGTCAAAATGAACTTGGGGGTGATAATAGAATAATACAAATAATAATGCGAGAAAACAGCAGAAAACATTATTAGCAAACAAATGTGTAAGAACTGAAGAAATGCACATAAAGTACATTACACATGCATTTTGTCTATCAAACGTGAGACCTGTAATTCTTAATCCTTTTAGTTCTTGCAACATGTTACATTAAATAAAATGCCTGATTGTAAAAGGGAAATATATTAAGACAAGTACCAGTGTAAGGAGCTAAAATGTTTTAGCTGTTTTGCTTTAGGAGATGTAGAAATATAAAGTGGGCACATTCTGTCACTGAGCTGCTTCAAATCAACAGATACATTTTTGGTTTTTTGGGTCTGGACAAATTAAATAATGGTTAAAGTTTTGGTACATTACCCGGCCTTTCATAAAGTAAGGGGTTAAGAATTTGGTTCCAGCAGATCTCTACTGATATACAAACAGGAAGCAAACAGGAAGTCCATCAGCTCAAGCTGTGTTGCCTGAGGGATAATTTAGCTGCATACAAAATATGCAGAAATGTTGTAGACGTCAGCTCAGTTTAGCAAAGTGGACGGATTTCTGAGACTTAAAGACCCAGTGTGTAGGATAAAGAGGGATCTATTGGCAGAAATGTTAAATATTTTGTAGGAATTGTGTTTTCATTTGATAAGGATCAAGTCCTCAATGCGGAGTTAGCCGTTTTGCACCGCCATGTCTCGACAGTAGCCCAAAACGGACAAACCAAACATTGTCTCTAAAAAGGGATTCAACATTTATTTTGAAGGGACAGCTTGAATTTGGTGGCGCAAATGCACCTGAAGGCCTCCGTAAATTCACGCTTTGAAAAAGGAGGCGTAAGTGGGTACACTAAATCCTACACACTGACCCTTTAAATATCAAAACTATTTCAACAAGAACAATAAGCAACTGCAGTCTACTTTGGCTTATCCAAAAGGTGAAGAGGCACAGAGAAAGTAAACATGTTGAGATGCAGCCATGAATTCCTGTACAACCCTGGAACCATAAAATCTGACATATCTTTAGTTGTTGTTTTTTTCAAAGAGAGCATCGTTGTTCCACAAGTCCAAAAAAATGGCCGATCAAAATGATGCACTTGTACACAGATGATCATATCAAAGATGTCGGGTCCACTTGCAGAGGATCATGCAACACTATGATGGAGGGCCGATGGCTGAGTACCTCTTCAACCTCACTTTCTTTTTGATATTCTTCATCTCTCTCAGCGCTCTGTACACAGTGGGGGGGGAAACAACAAGGTCTTCATGTCCTCCCCTTCCTTCATGCTGTTCTCCTCTGGTCCCGACAGACACGTCCCAAAAAACGAAAGCCACCCCTGATGGACGAAGAGAGAGGGCAAAAATAATGTTAGGTTAGAGAGGGGAAACGGATGTATTTCAAAGTTTCCTTGAATTTAGAACAAGAAGTAAGCTATATTATTTCATCCTCATGAGACCATGACATTCTGTGCGGATTGGAGTTAGGTCATTCAATGTGAAACAGTGTTAACACTTCATCATACCACTCTGACTCATTGGACCTGACTTAAAAACAACAGATATAAGAATGTCTAGCTACAGTAACATTAACAAAATATATTTATTTGTCAGTTTTGAGCAGGAGATTGGTATGAAAAGGTCCCGCACACTGTCTGAATCTTGCAAGTAGAACATTTTTATTAAACAGACATTTCAGTCCGACAAAGGTCCTTCTAAGGTCAACTTATTTTGATCCTTGTCAGATTGAAACATTTTCTCGTTTATGAAATCTTCCAGTCGCAAGATTCAGGCTTCAGGCAGTGCAGGTCCTTTTTCTTATCTTTTGCCATGAAAGTAGTTTTTCTGATGCACCTGTCCCCTGGAGACTTAAATAAAAGTGTGCAGCAAGGACAGCTTATGATGAGAAGGAGACTGGTCAAATGGTGCAGAAAATAGGGTTTAAAATTACTGGAGTCTAACGCCATGCTATCAGTTCAGTGAGAATAAAACTAATGATGTTGGCATTCAGATAATGCATTAAGGCAAGTCATTTCATTGTGATTTTAAAATAGGCTTTGGTAGCCATGCTAGTGTTTAATTCCATAAGGAATAATAACACGACTTTATATCTACAGCAAGATGAGTCTTGTGCATAATATTAGTCTCTGCTAGTGGTTCAATTGGTGTTATCTTAAAGCATCAGAGGCAGAGATGATAATCTCTATTGTATCATTATTTAAATGACAGGAAATACAGATATTTGATTTCTTGTCAGGAGTTAGATTTCAGAAAAATCAGATGCATGTCTGCTAAATCTGGAGCTATAAGACGGTTAGCTTAGCATATTATTTGACAACAGGGATGAATAGCTAGCCTCGTTATGTTTAGTTGGCAAAAAAACCTGCCTTTGTCTTTATAGCTCACTCATTTACATGTAATCTCCTAATCCATGCGAGAACCAAAATGTAACAACGGATTGCAGACTCTAATGGGGTTATATGCCGGACAATTTATTTACAGAGAGCAGTAAACTGAAGTGTTTATACATTTCAGTTTTTGTACGAATTAAATTATTATTTTGTAACGCTTATTTACCTAATGAGTTAAGGAGGAACAGCACAGTGTTGAGTACACACTCATTAAATCTATGAGCCATATGCACTAAAGTATGTTATGTTCACAGAGTGTAGTGTATTGAGAGGGGACCATTATTCAGTACATTCAAGAACAGACAAAGAAAGAGGGGCTGGACATCTCTAAGACCATTTAAAAAAGAAAAGTAACTTTCTCAACAACCATTCGTCTAATGTACTTTACACTTGGCAAGTATATACCGCTGAGGAAGCAGTGTCAAGTGGGAAGTTGTTTGGATGATGAACAGTATGAGTAAGCTTCAAGCGCCAATGCTAAAGGCCGAGCTATCAACCTGTTTCTAAAAAATCTAGTTTGTAATGGGCTTGTCTAACTAAAATAGAGTGATTTTCTGTTTGAATTTGTCGATAAATGTTCGTACCATCACTTTCACACTTGGCCCCAAGGAAGTGTAGTGTCGAGTGTGAAGTTGTTTGGATTAGCAATTCTCGAGAAAGCAGAAAGCAGCAATACCGAACGGGGTCTACACTGGTAAACAAAATGGTTCTTAACACTACACTGAGCAGCCGAAAAGCAACATTGGAAATCGTTAAAGGTTAGGACTTTGCTTAAATCTGTTTGCATGAATTTAATTAAGTGGAACAATACCTTTCTCTGGTTCACGGCCGCTTTCCTGCCTGGAGCCAGCAGTTTGGCAGCACGGCAGCAATCAGTCTGTCTGTCTGTCCATACTTCCATCAGCACTGTGTGTGTGTGTGTGTTCTGTTTATGTTGGTGTGTTTTAGTCCACAGTAGCCCGGGTAAGTCTCTGGGCATCGGTATGAGGGGGAAGAGGTTTCATGGGGTTTTAAGGATGCATCACAAACACACTGTGGTCCAGGATGGTTGGCATTCAAAGGACTAACAAGTGTGTAGGTGTGTGTGTGTGGGAGGGGTATTTTCCTTCTTGGCAGTGCAAGTTACCGCCCTCACCATACACTAAGATATAAAGCACTTATTGAGACATCCACAGCGGTCGCAACAGTGAGGGTTCAACTACATTCTCCATGCCTAATGTCTTCACGTCAGCTTCAATTTGGAATTAAGTGTGCCGTTATGTTCCGCTGCTAAGAGCTGAAAGCAAATAACCTTTTCTTTCTGCGGAGATAAAGAATCGTCCTATAAAGGGCTCAGCCAAAACACATATCTGTTACACACTCTGACTCTAATAAATGTCGTACGGAGTGCACTTGTAGTGTATTGGACTTGAAGGTGCGTTTTGAAGGTCACCGCTGAGCGAGGAATGTGCCCTCACATTGTCATTCACAGAGGGGATCCATTAGTCTCCTAATAACCGTTTGAACACGGCTGTAGTCGTGTAAGACGTATAAAAAGGAACAACAAGAGATGTCTTAATTCAAACCAACCATCACGACAAATGAAAGTGGAAGGGATCAAGGACTTTCTCCGAGAGTAAATACAACTTGGGAGAAAAAAAAAAATTACAAATTGAGCAGAGAAAGTCTTGAGAGACCTGTCCTTCATTCAAAACCCCCCCTTGTGTCTTTCTCTCCAATTCACTTCATTTTCTATTTCATTTCCTCTCTCTTTGTCTCTGGCTCTCTCTCCTCTCTGTCCCTCGCAGAGCGCCTGCTATGGGGACGTGATTGTCGTCTTGCTTCGAGATTAATTAGTCTTTTTATACCGCTCTCACACTCTTGGCTCACCAATACAAAAAGGGAAGACACGCTTCCAGTTTTTAAGTGCAGTAAGCTGAAAGAAAGTCTCAAAGGACCAGAAGGACACAGAATCAGTTCAATATTTTCCAGTCAGTTGCACTTGCCATTCATCAACCGGTTTCAGCACAGAGGGCTAAAAGCCTCTTGGTCCACTCAACGTCAATTAAACGTGCCCTTCAGGACACATGTAACGCCATTTGTTAGATTTTCCATGCTCGAGGTGTGCTCCTCTGTGTTCAGACTTTTTTTTTTAAATACACAATTTACACAGGTGGCGACTGCACAGTGGAAGCAGGAAAAAGCCACAACCATGACTGCCCGGAACACAATAATTATAGGAGTGCATGTTGCCGAACACAGTGTATGAGTGTGTATTTTGAACATGCTGTGTGCTATAAATGTCAACAGTGAGCCAAACAGGCATTGGCGGAGCGAATGACAGCGTGTCACTGAAAGAGAGAGAGAGCAGGCGTCCTCAGGAGGAGGGAGGTAGGTTGGTTGTTTTGTTTTTCCAACTCGGGGAAACGGAGGAGGGACACGTCTAGACGGAGGACTCCTCGGGGTTGGCGTCGGGCAGAACGCTCCTCTGCTGCAGCGTGCGTCTCAGCTCCTCCTTGAAGGGGCTCGAGTAATCATTCCCGCTCAGGCCCAGACCCCCCAGCCCGCCGCCCCCAGCGCCAGCCCCGCTAGCCCTCTCCTCCCCTGCTGTGCTCAGGTTGAGGCGGATGTAGCCATTGCTACCCGAACCTCTAATGTTGGTGAGGCTGAGACGGCTCGGGGAGTGGATGGGCTGGCCGGGGATGGCGCTCGGTGACGCCGTGCTGCTCACGCTGCTGGGCCCTAGGGCATGGCCGGGAACGATCTTCAGCGAGCCGTCCGAGTAGTAGTAGTTAGCGCCCGTCTCCCAGAAGCGGTCCTCGTCAGTGGGCATCTTGCTGGGCACAAACGTTGGCGGCTCTTTAGGTAGGGTGATGGGGTAAACCAAGGTGCTCTCAAGGGGCTTCATGTCGGCTCCTTTCCCCAGAGCGAGCTTCAGCCTCCTGCGCAGGTACAGAGCTGCGACGAGGAGCAGCAGGCACGCCGCTCCGAGGGTGATGACCAGCACCCAGAAGAGCCCCATGCTGCTGTCTGGAGCGCGGGCCTCCATGAACACAGGAGGGCTGGCCACCACGGCCACCTGGTAGCGCTCCGTCTGAAACTTCACCCCCTGCTCCTCAGAGTAGCATATGTAGCGTCCCGCCTGCATCTGCCCAGCTGCGGGGACCACGAGGGCCTTCAGAGTGCGGTCGAAGTGTGGCCCTCCTGCTTCAGGGTCACCGAGCTGGAGCTCCCGGTCGTTCAGGACCCAGAAGGGCTGAGCCAGGTTGGAGACCAGCTGGCACGGCAGCACCATGTCCGACCCCACCACCACTGTGATGTTCTTCAGGCGGGAGTGCTCTGCAGAAGGAGAAGGAGAGTGGGTGTAAGAGGTGGTTAAGGGTCGTCCATGTAATTGACATTTTACTGCAGCTCCCTTCTGCTTGATTCAATTTATTTAACTTAATCCAAATGTATTCATTCAGTTCAGCTGCTCCTGCACTGGCAGTCTATTCCCACAAGGTGCCACTACTGAGGTGGAGCCCCCTACTCACCGGGGCTGGGGATGGAGACAGGCTTATCAAACTTGGCTTTCCCCCGGCTGAACCTTTCCAGCATGAGGTCCTGAGACAGGGAGGAGGTGGAGCTGGAGAGGAAGGGGCACAAAGCAGAACAGAAGATTAGTAATGTTCTACAGATAACACTGGATCCAGTAGTTATACTCAAAACAATCTGAATCTACAGAGAACACAGCAAAACAAGCTTTTGCAAGATTATATAAACTATAAATGAGCCTCAAATGTCAGAATACAGTATTAGCCTTTTGTTACATCATAGATATTGACCACAGCTTGATGATATAGTTACATTTGTTTAATAATGGAATTCACAGCATGTAATTCAGGAGGATGTTACTCAAAAAGCTTCAGGGTGAAATTCTGCAATACGCTGCAATAAAAGCAGGTAATAAGATGTTTATTTCCAGCTGAATAACTTTCATTAGTATGGTGTCAGTAAAGAGTAACATAATATCAGAATACTGCTTCAGGGGCTTTTAAGAAATATCAATACGAAGCCTATAATGTTGTTTATATGTGGGTTAGAGTATGAATGCATGGGGTCTGGGCTCACCCGCGGTGGAGGTCGATGCGGACGCAGGCGCGGCCCTCGCTGTCCCAGGCGCAGTAGGGGTCCCGGGCCAGCAGGCAGTCTGGCTGGGACTGATAGCGGCTGCAGTTGGCCAAGGGCAGCTGGAGAACCTCCGAACGAGAGCCGATGTACAAGTACTTCTACACACAGAACGCAGAGAGAAGGAGACGAAGAAGAAGACAAAGAACAGATCCAGCCATCGCCCAGAGACAGAAACCAGAGAGAGATGGAAAAAGAGAGAAAGATAAACAGAGAGGGACTCAGTTTTAGGAGATAATGGGATAATCACTCTCAATTACAATAACATTCACCCCCCTGACCCTCTTCAAATCCAATCTGGATTGCGCTCTTTTTGCAAAAGCTGTTATAAAATGTCTGGTCGCGGCTTAGCCAGCTTTAATGAGATAAGCAGTGGGCTTTGGGGCAGGGGACGCCCCGTCAAAAAACAAGCATCGATCGGTGGACACGGCCCGTGTCAACAACACACAGGCTCCGGTGACAGGACAGGGACTCTGAGAAAACAACCGGGGCAGAGGTTCAACTCCCCGCGGAGGTGAAGGACTGTAATTACTGTTATTGTGAAGAGGGTTTTGTATTCATGAGGCGACGCTCAATCTGGAGAATAGCTGTGTTTAAAAAGGGATCAAACCAACTTCTGAGTGGCAGCAGGCCAGTGTCAGTAGATCTGAGGTTGTAAGTGCCTGGAAAAAAGGATTTTAACGGACCAGCAGAGAATAGATCATGTAGATGTTTTTTACATTCAACGATAGATGGTTAGATTCACAATGTGCTCTGTGCTTAACACAAGCTAACAAGACATTTACGTTCCGTGCAACAACATAAAAAACGTCAGTAAATGCCCCCACTAATGAGTATCTGATGCTTTTATGTGTCTTAACAACTGTGGTTGCTAACAAGTGACCAAATAAGACTGATAAACATCATCACATCGAAAACTAGCCGCCTTCAGCTTAGCGGTTGTGAAGTCATGTGACCGTGATACAGTTTGTTTATAGCCTCATGTTAGCTATTTACTTCTGGTGATTGCATTTATATTTCCCTATTAACTATTATAACTATTAGAAAGTCCACAAGTGGATATGTGGAGATTATCTTGCTGAACAAAACATTTAAAGATCATAAATGTGTGTTTGCCTCAGAACTTGTTTTATGGAATATACCACCCAGTGCCCCACTCTAGTGTTGTTGCAAAGAGTTAGGATAACGGAGACGATCACAATGCTCCTTAGCGTCTACCCAGATAGTGCTGAGTATTTTAACAACGTGTAGGAATAGATGTTGAGATATGGACATTATATTCTGTAAGGTATATAGTACATTACGTTATAAAGCAGTAGTCATACTGTGATCATTGAATATCAATGAAGAAGTGATGCAACAGAGAAAGAAGGCAAGCTAAAGGAAAACCAAAACTCTTGGTTCAAGTCGATCAGAGGAAGTGCAGAGCCGTGGTAAAAAAGACACTTTGAGGTACTTTTCCCCTGAAAGAGCATTAAGGTTTCTTATCATACATAAAACAGTACATCAAGCAGATGGCTTTAGGCTACTATACTGAGTTAGAACAGCTGGAAGCTCAAACCTTCAAATGATGAAGGATCCTCCTCCAGAGCAGCAAAGGCATTTTACATCCTTACTCATGCACAGGCTTTAGCATTAACCGTTTGGTGCATGTGTACAAATGGGAATTATTTCGTACTTATTATTGTTATCACTGGCTGCTAGCACAATTACTTCAAATGATCCCTTACTGTTTAGATAGTGCGTGTGCCAGCGGCTGTTATTAATAAAACACATCCTTTATGAAACATTAACTTGAGTCTTTTAAAATAGATATCTTTACTGTTTATTTGAGTTTTTACTGGCTGCTGGTTCACGTACTTTTTTATGTTCTCTTACTTTTACAAGGCTTCTACTTATTTACCACGGTAGTGTACTTTTGAATTTATTTTATTAATGTCTGCTTTGCTCTTTCTTTCAGATGACTTTATGCTGCACTGATCCTTAGCTGTTAAAACTGTATATTTCCCCTGAGACAAATAAAGGATTTCAGATTCTAATTAAAACTCTTCAAGCTGTTTGGATGCTGTGAATGAAACAGTATGTTATTAATAACACACATCCTGCACGTCACATTGGACTTTAGTTAAGTTATACAACATTTGTATTTTTGACTGTTTAAATGTCCCCTCTGTGAGACCAATAAAGGATGTCTGATTCTGAATTGCAATGGAAAATTAAAACCCGTTTAAATATAGCTCTAGATTATTACATTTCTGATTCTGAATTCCCGTTGAATAACCTCACGTCACCAATTCCCCGTGCTCTTACCTTTGAGTGTGAGATGGTGAGGCTGTCCACGGGCTGCGGGGTCTCGAACAGCTGGATCTCCTCGATGACGTGCGCCTCGTTGCCCAGGACCACCACCCTCTGCAGCCAGCCCTCCGCTGCAGCCAAGAGAGAAGCAGGAAACAAGATTTAGCTCCGTTATGTTGGGAAAATACTGAATGTCCTCTTCCAATCTGAGAGTAACATGATAACAAAGGTATCCCAACTATAGCTGTGTACATGACAGGATGTATGATTACCTAGAAGAGCATCAGGACTGTTTTAGGCATATGATAGCTATGTGATTAACATGATGATTCAGCCTCTATGGAGATAGACATATGACAAGCATGCTCATTTCTGACGTGGAGCTAATCTGAAGTAAACATTGAATACTGCTTTCTATTCCTCCATCTTGTGACTGTGTAACTCCCTCTCTTGGATATCAGCATGTGAAGGACACTGTTCAGGAACTAGTTGATGCTCTGTATGTGATGACTACTTCCATTCAGGAGAGGATCAGAAATACATGGATCTTGATATTGAAGCTCAAGCCGGTGACGAGTGATATTTTTCTAACAAGCTCACAACACTTTCAAACTTTCAATTCAACATCACTGAAGACTTTCTTTTTAACCTCAAGTCAACTTTTTCATGGCAAAGAAAAACCCTCTAATCAAATAGATGGCTTAAGCGCTCTTGGAAGTCTCGAAAACACAGCTTTGACAGCTCATTTAAATCTCCTTTATATGATATTAAAATATACGTACACACACCTGTGATGCACACCGGTTCATTTGAATAATACATATCTGAATGAATACATTCACATTTGCACCTGTGGCTGCATACCACTCAATTTAAATATGAATGACCTGCAAACAAACAACACCTGCGACTGCACCGTATTTTACTTCAATATTAATGATGCAAACATTTCATGTTCATTTAAATATGAATGGTGAGACATTATAATGTATAAATACATGTCTTTGATGAAATAATGACGGATTAAAATATTAAAACAGAAGCTGAAAAACATCAGAATGATAATTACATGTGTCGCATCTGTTATAATATTGACATGTCAGCTGTGAAAAATGTCATTTAGTTCCTTTTCAATAATATACCCCCTTTAAAATACTTTTTGAACTAAGTTCTATACAACCCCGCGTCATCGGAGTCTGAAGTTATTTGAGTATTATTATTATTATTATTATAGGACTTTGAGCACTTTATTAACAGTCAAGTACACTAAAATACTCCAAATTAAACGTAGGCAGACCCCAATAAAGAAACACTAACATACATGATAACAAATGCACACAGCTGCAGTGTTATCTGGTTGTCGGCAACTTTCATTAACTTCAATTTGTGAAACTTTAAGGCCAGATGGACTAAAATGTCATGCTTCTCAGCAACTGAGAAAGACAGAAAATGGGAAAGAAAAACAACTTCTGCTGCCAGCGCCGAGTCCATCGCAGCCAGAAAGTATCTGAAGGTGAATTGAAAAGAGTAGGGATGCTGTTCTTGGCCTTGGGTGAAGGTAATAATATCAGAGACATTTATTTTGAAACTTTTTTGTAGTGTGGGGAGCTGACGCTGGAGGAAGAGGAAGAGGAGATCCTGAGCTCCTTTCATGTAGGGCATTGTGAGCAAGTCTATATCCCCTGTGAGGAAAGGCGTTTTAGGCACAGCTGCTGGGGTGACCTTGATGTTAGTGTGTGTGTGTGTGTGTGTGTGTGTGTGTGTGTGTGTGTGTGTGTGTGTGTGTGTGTGTGTGTGTAAGGTTGGAATATTGTTACGTGCTGACATGTGCTTTCTTGTGCGGCCCTCTCGATTAAAAGACTGTCACAGATAAGATGAAAAGCGAACCTAGTAGCCCATGGGAGGGAAATAGTGTCGCGCGACGCACGCACGCACGCACGCACGCACGCACGCACGCACGCACGCACGCACGCACGCACGCACGCACGCACGCACACACACACACACACACACACACACACACACACACACACACACACACACACACACACACACACACACACACACACACACACACACACACACACACACACACACACACACACACACACACACACACACACACACACACGATTCAGTCAAAGCGAGCAGCAGGCATATCATAACATTCTCCTCTCATGGAGTCAGGGACCGGTGTCGTTTAATCCCTCAATCCTAAAACTTGGTTTCTCTGAAAACAGTTTTGACAAGCTCCTTCTCCCTGGCTCTCTTTCTCGCTCTCTTTTTCACTTCAGCTGTCGCTTTTCTGCAGCTAATAGCTAATCAAGCCCACAGCCCAATTGGCACCAGGAGCGCCCGTCTACCAAGGGGCCCCGTTGAGTTTGGGCCGTGAAGCACGACAAGCGGGGATGACTGCACTTGGCTCAGGAAGTGTGAGCGTGTGTGTATCTCGGTGTGTTTGTGTATATCAATTTGTGAGAGCGTGTCACAAATGTGTGTGTGTGTGTGTCCGGGGGTTGGCCTCCCCGCCTGCCAGCAGAGGAGTCCGCTGTTGTGGCGCTGTCAGTGTTGAAGCTGCAGTGATCTGAATGCTAAGCAGACGAGCCTCTCTGCATTCATGAGGCGCGATGCATTCAAATCCACTGCGAGATGTGTGTTATTCAGGATTACGGCTGATTTCAGACCTGTGCCAGAACACAGGACACCTGCATATGGGCCTGGTGGCTACTGACTACAGATATTAATTAAGTCGTGCATACGTGGACGTTTCCTTTGATGCATGAAGATGGATCTCAGCATGCAAATCAAGTCGTTAATTGAAACCCAGCTGAAGTGCGGGCAGATGGCGTTGTTTTGTTCCACCGTACCTAATGCCAGTACCTGTCCCTGTCTGAGACCTGCACGCTGAATCTACTCTACAAATAGGCTACTGTGCGCAGCCCCTCCTAACACACGCACACACACACGCACGCACACACACACACTCCAATAAACACACACTCGCAGTCGGGGAATAAGGGAATATGAATAAAGAGTGTGTTCCCAGGATGTTTTTTTACTGCAATATCAAGAGTAAAGGAGATGGGGAAAGTCCCAGGAACACCATGTACTGTATAATCCAAGAAGCATGAATATAAACTAGAAGAGAAAGAACAAAATATAGTATTTAATAATAATTTATTGTATATTTCTTCCGTTTAATATATATTTTTGTTGCCATATCTTACTAGATTTTTTATTTTATTTATTATTATGCGTCTTTGTCTTTTGATAAACTTGCTTTAACTGTAATTTGTATTATATGATGTGCCATTTCACCAAAGCAAATGTGAAAACGTGCTATGCAATACACAGGAATCCTAATGTTCTTGACCTGCATTAAACTGTAGGAGGCTTCTGCTGTTTTAACCCAAAAAAACTAGATATTTTATTAGAAAAATGCCAAACATTCCCTGCCAAATTAAAGTGTGCTCACCTATCTCAAAAACTGTTTAAAATATCTTCTAGTGGATTGGACATCTAAATCTGATGCACTTAAATAAGTTAAGCTGAAGTAAGGCGCTGGAAGCATTTTACATTTTAAAGTCAAAGCCCTGAAGGCACCTGAATTGTCAGTTAGTATGAAAGCTCTGAAAACAATTGTCAGCTGAACTCCAAATGATGAAAGTGACTCAAATTGCCGTTGAAGTTGAAGCCCCGCAGAGAGTTTAAGTGTGAACACTGTAAATAGTTGAGGTGTCAGTGTGTGTTAAAGCAGGTAAAATGTCAGGTGAAGTTTACGTGCTGAACGCGGGGAGATGTCAGTTCAAAGGAGGGAGGAGAAACTTAAAATGATTTACAGGAACACTATCGACTGAGCCCAGTGCCCGTCATTTCAACTTCATCTGCCAAAGGTTTGTGAAAGTAGACCTGTACTTTACTTTTTTTACAGTCCAATTTGGACTTTGTTTTGTAAAAATGTAACTTTCTTTTTTTAACTGATCCTGTATATTACTTTTTCAATTAAAGGTGGGGTAGGTAAGTTTGAGAAACCGGCTCGAGATACACTTTTTGTTATATTCCATGGAATGCTCTTAACATCCCGATAGCAATGAATATCTGAAGTGCTTTGACAAAAAATCCATTAAAAAATGTCATCTGTGGAAGCTGTAGTACTGTAAAAAGCACGATCAATCATTTTAGCCGGCCCGGCTAAAATAACTGGATGGCCTACCTGCCTGTCAGCCTTCCATCTGTGCACAGACTTATCTCGTGCCCTCATTGGTCATGTGCGCGTTCGTGTGTGTTGGAGGAGGGGCTCTGTAAGGAAGTGGCAGATTTTCTCCGGTTGTGTATTTTCAAATTCTAGCGCACTCGAGCTGGTTTCTCCAAAATGACCTACCCCACCTTTAATGTTATGTTATATTTCATTATTTTATACAATTTGAAAATGATATGACATTTTGAAAAGAGCCATTGTGCATCGATACCATTTTTAAGTTGCAAACAGGTGAATGTTATGGATGTTCTTAAACACCTGAACTAAGAACATCCATAACATTCACCTGTTTGCAACTTACAAATTATGTATCACTTGTATATAGACTCTTATGGCACTACTTCTTGGCACTATTTGATCTGTTTTATTGTGTTGCACTGTTGGAGGAGCCTGTGACCTTAGATTTTCATCGACATAACTACACTGTAGCTATGCCCGAATGACAATAAAAGCCTTGAATGAATCTTGAATCCTCCGCTGTGCGTACCTGTGCCGATGAACAGCATGTTGTAGGCCCGCTGGTCCAGGCTGTTGACCCGGTCCACCACCAGCCGGGTGAAGTTGACCCCCTTGGTGAGCAGCAGGGGGCGAGCCAGAGCTTTGTCCTCCATCAGCGGGTGCTTCTTGGCGAAGTTGAGCGTGGCGTCAGGCAGCTGCAGGGAGCTGTTGTAACCGCTCTCTCTGTCGGAGTTAGTTATACACTGCAGCACGGAGGGAGGAAGGAGGGAGGAAACAAACATGGTGGGGGAAAGGAGGAAGGAGAGGAAGAAGGAGAAAAAGTTAGAGGAGGAAACTTTTTCACACATTGGCATGGCTAGTTGGCTTTGATTTGACGCCTCTTCTCCATCTTTCACTCTGGCTTTCACCTCCGCCTGCCATCACACCCCTTCCTCCTTTCCTTTCCTTTCGTCCTGGATCATTACGTTCTTAGCTTTCGTGTCCTGCCAGCTCTTTTCCACTTACATCGCTACAGCACCCCATGCCATTCATTTCCACTTCCCTCCATCCCTCCCTCTTTCTGTATTCCTTCTCTGCACACTTATCTCCGCTTATGTGTTACAGATGCACAAAACCCTACATGTGTCAAAAATGGCTTTCCTTTCATGCTTCCTAAAGTTGCCTGGAAACATTTGCATTTACCAAACATCATATCAAGTTTAAATAAACAGCGAGAAATAAGGAATTTAAGGAAATGTTTTGATGGTTTAAATGACCTGCTATTCTATTTTCCACTATTCAACGTTCTGGGAAAATGTCATTTGACTTGAATTAACATTTTTATTTTCATATATTTATTGGTTTATATTGCATGTTTTGTTACGATATTGAATTAAATGTATTTTATTTTAGAAAATAAATAAATATATTATTTCTTACCGCTCCAGGCCGTGGGACAGGGACCGCTCCGGTGTAGCGCCCCCACCTCTGAGACGGCTCCCTGTACTCTTTGTAGGATCCTTCAAAAACCTTCTTCACATCGCTGATCTGGTACTGGCACACCGCCGACACGTCCACGTCACCCCTGAAACATGGCGGCAAGGAGGGGAATTAGTGACGTGTGGCGGGAGAAACGGAAAGATGGATCACCTGTCATCCACTTGTAGAGACATGTGACTTATAGCTTCTGAATGTGGCACAATAACATGAGAGAATATGGGATATAATAACCAGAAAGTAATATCAGTTGCATGTTAAAAGCATGAACGTCATTTGCATGTTTACAATAAAAGCTATCGAGGTGAACATCAGCCTGTGTCTTATTGAGTGACTGAAAATGATTAGATGTGTTGACACCTCTCCACCCTTTCCACGGTGTATCAAGGTGCAAATTGATGTACCTGAAATACATTTCCTTGATAGACCACTGACATTAATCAGCTGTTGCTGTGACGCCGCCACACAGGAATAGCATTTCATTTAACGTTTCATTTTTGGTAAGGTCGGGGGTATGGGATCTTAATTTTCTTTCCCAATCCAATTTTGGACCACAAAATGGTTTGGAATTGGTTATTTATGCATGACCAAGACACATAAAGTCATACTTGTATTCCTCATCTCACAAATATATTTCAATTTAATTCACATCTATTTTTAGACTGAGAGAAGGAGTCACTTCCACTGTAAAATGTATATGTTGTGATTTGTCCTTTAAAGGGGCCTTATTATGCAAATACAATTGTATGTAGTGTCTCTACTGTGACATGTCTCATACTGCCTGTGCTGCAGCACCTCTTTTCACCCTCTGTCTGAAACCAGAGCCCAGTCTGCTCTGATTGGTTAGCTGGCCGGCTCTGTTGTGATTGGTCACGTGCAATTTGTTGGAGCCCTAGCCAATAGAGGCGCGAGTGTTACATAGTGCAGTTACTATGATCCGTAAGTAAACAAAGGAGTACATTGGTGGAACTCCTTTGGATGGAACTTCATGATTTTAGCCTTTGCAGACCATTTACATGCACACAAACATATACAACACACTACAGGAAAAGGAAAACCTCAAAAAGTATAATAGGGCCTCTTTAAGGGAAGTGCTATTTCCATCTGGAGCAGTGCAGCAGTGCTACAGGCTTTAAAAGGTGAGCGCCAAAACCAAAGGACAGCACTGATGTCTTAGCTTGTTAAAAAGCCTCCTTAGTCAGGCTGATTGTGGCATGAACTCTGAGTCATCATTTACATAATGTCCAATTATCTTAATGTTATCTCCATCAAAGCCATAGGGCTTTAAGGAATCCCCGGCGAGTCACACAGAGGAAAAGGATTAGGCTTCTTCTTTTTCTTCTGACAGCAGCAGAAGGAGCTCTGAATGCAGAAACAAAGCTTGAAGTTCAAAGCACGTTCACTTGGCGATATGATATCTTATTGAGGAACACAAAAGAGTCACATCATAGGGCTTTACTCGCAGAACAACTCCAACTATCCTCCCAAAGCAAACCTCCTGCCCTGCCTCCCACTGCTTTGGTGATAAGTAACTCATTAACACATAACAGTTGTGTAGTGGTCCAGTCTTTAGTCCACTAATAATCCCACAGTCACAAGTTTCTTTGTCATCAGCATTTTAATCTCCAGATTGTACTTCAATTATCCCTTTAAGTACATTTTCCCTTCAGAATAAAAGTTGATCTGGTCTTTAATGTTTTATCAAGCTTTAAACAGACGACATCAAAAGATTCTCTTAAGAAGAAACATGTCAGAAAAGTTGATTTGGTCCTAAAGTGAAGTTTTATCAAGCTATAAACTAAAATGTAAATCATCAACAGAGTTTTTTTATGATCCCTATCACCAAATATTCAACAGATGTGATGATATGATGCTAAAATCGGGCGGTTTTCATACACTGTTTGCAGCTATTTCCACAAAAAGTGACACACCATAGTTCCTAAATATACTATATATGTTTTTATTTGATGTAATATTTGTAATTGTAAACCAGAGTGACAAAGATCGCATTGGGATGAGATCATTGTGTTTGGGTGGTTTGGAAAACACCAGACTTTCACACATTTGATTTGTTTTGCACTTATTATTGCCATTTACACCTAAATCCGTGCCTAAAGCCCCGTCCACACGGAGACGATATCAGACGGTTCGTCCACACGAGGCTGACACGGAAACGCGGATTTGGAGCCCGAATCCGATACCCTTTGATTACGCCTCCCAAAGTGGGTAGGTCTGAGGACGACACGCTTGCGGCTCCGTGTGTACGCCCTATACGATCATTCCCTGAAATGATGAAGCCATAGCCCCGCCTCTCTCCACCTCTCCTGCTCACCCCCGCGTCATTGCTGATGCGTTTCGCCAACAACAACAACAATGGCGGATCACAGGGTTGCGTTCGTGCTCCAGACGCTACTGACCATGATACAGATTTTAGTGCAACATTTACAGCTCCTCTACCACAACCATCAGCAACAATAATAATATAATATAATAATAATAATAATAATAATCGTCATCGGTCTTATTCGCTGCTTTTGGTGTATTTTGTGGCGGAAGTACAGCGCCACTTACAGGCCCGGCATATGTACTACAGCATCTCCAGCGGGTCGAGCGGTCTCGTGTGGACGGACACGTTTCTTGAGTCGATTCCGTGAGGACGGAAGACTTTTTTGATATCGAATTCGGTTCGTTTTCGTCTCCGTTTCGTCTCCGTGTGGACAGGGCCTAAGTAACGGCTTTTCCATTTTTTTTTTACGGAAGCGTTTACTAAATTGTAACGTAACTTTCGTTCTTTAGTAACGCAACTTCTGTAGCAGTTACAAAACCAAATAACAACCTTTTCCATACGTTTATTAAGACTGAATGCATTGAGCTGAAAATGGACACCTGTTGATGGACATTTAAACTAAATGCATGAGAAACAAGGAATACGTTATTATAAGGTGTCAGAAAAATCATTGTATTAGGATCAAATGTGGTAATAGTAAGGTATTAAGTATAATGTGATTCAACCAATGTGTCAATCATCGGTTTATTGAACTAATTAAATTAGCCTGATTCTATTTAGCAAAAGGGTTCACTATATTCAGCCAAAACATGAAGTCAATGTGACATTAAATCACTAATAAAACCCATAAAACCTGTTCAAGCCCACTTGAGCTGTATCCACTCGTAGGGCTATTACACTAAAAGCCCAATTACACAGTAAACACCTGATCCCTAGTGCATAATTAGAGCCATCATATCAGAGTGACTGCTGGCTGACCCAGGATTTTAATAAAAAGCAAAGTATCTGACATGTTGGGAAAGTGATATGTCTCGCTCTGACAGCAGATGGTACATGTAGTAATTAACCGAGATTTTTCAGAGGATGAGACTGAAATGGAGCTCTTTCTTCAGCCTGTATTTCTCTGCTCTGACTCACCACTGGGCGTGGAAGATGCCGTAGAAGGTGGTGCCCCTCCAGTCCTGGCCCGGCAGCGTGAACACGGCCCTCAGGTTGTTGAAGGAGACGTGACGCTCGGGGAGGGAGCACTCCAGACGGGCTTTCTGGAAGGTGGTCCACTTCTTCTGCAGAGTCCTGGTACCACCCAGATCCCCCTGAGAGAGGACACGATCACATCTCATCAACGGCTGAAACAGGTCCTTTAAAGGTCCCCTATTATACTGTTTTACATAAATATATTATAGGTCTCAGATATATACAAAGCATGTCTCTGAAGTGTTTGGCTCCAAACACCAAACAGATCATTGCAGCATCCCATAAGCCCCCCTGTCTGTTACTTTAGATGAAAATAAGGAGCCACTCCCCACGCCAGATTCAGTTGATAAGGTGGGGGGGGGGGGGGTTACCTTGGTTGGTGATTGGCTAATGGTTACACAAGCCAAAATATCGTTATGACATCATAAAGTATCCAAAATCTGATCAGCTCATTTTCAGACAGGTTTTTATTGAAATGGATCAGGACAAAAAGAGAGAGAATCTTTTTTCCTGAAACTTTCAGAATCTCTTTACACAGAGGGGACACATGTTGATGTAGAAGAGACATGAACAAGTGGATTTTGCATAATAGGTGACCTTTAAATGTACATTCTTTGGGAGTAGAGGTGTAAAGAGATCCATGTTAATATCAGAGAAGAAAAAAGTCTAAACATCTTCTGTTGCAGAATAAAAAACCTGACCTGTTTTGATTGAAAGTTGCTTTTATTTAAAGCTCATGTACTTCTCATGCTGTTTTGAGTGTGTATCCTCATGGTTGAATGCACTTGAGAAATGTTACGTGCATAATTAAAGGTTACCTTCACTCAAACACTTCTAAAATTCTATGTTGGCCACTTTTCATTCGCTTAAAGTTTAATTTTAAATACAGACTAATTCAGCAACGGCAAAGTTTATTTCCAAACTGACTTCATCCTTGCAGACCATTTACATGCAGAAAACCTATATAACACACCAAAAAGCACAATAGGGCCTGTTTAATGAGCCACCATGTCAGTTGTTTTGAAATCTGTGGTCAGACAGCTCGGGATTGAATGTTTTCATCCAATCAGGTGCCTTGTGGCATGCCAATTAAGCGTCCAATGCGAGTTGACCCTGTGAACAAGTACCATTTCTCTTAGAGCTGACAGCACATCGCTCACTTTCTTGCTTTATTATGCTGCTTATGTTGCATTTCATTAGCCTCACCTTCACCTTGTGGATGCTAAACCTCACCTCTGTGCATACACGGTAGTATTCTGTATCTACATAATGATGAACCTGTTACACGTGAATCAGCTGACTGAGCATTTGTCATGTTGCAAAAACCTCTAAAGGAGCATTTCGACCCTGATATGTTGAAGGGTACCATTGAAGAGCAGGATGACAATAATAATAATAATGATATTCAATTATACGGGAAACATTGAGTTTTGATGGGTGGTCCCTTTATAAGGTTTACTGCTGGCTCAAAAGAGGCCTGTCTGCCAGATACACTCATTCCTATCAGCCTCTGTGGTTGCAGGGGCATTAAAATGCAATGCAAATGCTCATAATACAGCAGTGAGATACAGACATTATGCTTCAGCAGCAACAGCGGGGTGAAATCATTCACGGCACTAGTACACATCATGTGTGAGCATCTGTTTCTCATTTCAGTCAAAGAGCTTGATTGTTCATCACAGCAGCGCAGACATTAAAGGGCACTTTCCCTAAAACAGTGCATATATTGTGCATTTAATAACGCTCATCTCCTCAGACTGTTAACAATCTGTCTCGATTTCACTCAGTTTAAAGGTTACTGAGCTCTCTCTGCACACGTTACTGAAACATGACACACTTGTGCTTCGTTAACTTAAAGTTCACTGAAATCATACAAAATAAAAAGGGCTGCTGTTTAAAATCTCATTCTCCCCCCAGCTAGAAGCTCCTCTGATGTCTGGACATAATCACTGAGGTGAATCAAAACTAATCAGTTATCCTAATGAGGCCATTCATTAAACAAATGAATGCATTCATTATCAAATTGCTCTATGTCAGTGTAATTGTCCTCACATAAAACATTGTTAGCAAACTGGTGTTTAGCTGAAATTCAGTGGGACAAGGCTATTTACCGTGGAGCCCTTTATTTGTGCTTTATACTGATAATAATGGAAAGTCTGTATTTTAAAGCATAGTCGTTTCTTAGTTAGAAGAAAGGTTACTTTATTAAGTGTATCAGATCTTTTGAGTCAGGCTGACAGCTTTTAATATGTCACTGAATTGAGTTGTATTATGTTTTTTATGAGAGAAAGTAACTTTTAAGTTTCCACATTTTTAGTCAGAATAACCAGAACACGCCTATTGAAGAATTTGATCCCGCATTTTGTTAAAACAAATCATAGCTGACTTATTTGGTTGATCTTTGTGGGTCTTTAAACCATCATGGTGGAAAATGCGACCAACAATAGTTTGTTCCTTATGCAAAAAGGAGGCTGTGGCGCAGTGCACTAGTGCGTTGGTGTTCGGATCAGGGGGTCACAGGTTCAAACCCCACTGCAGTCAGCATGTCGTTGTGTCTCTGGGCAAGACACTTCACCCCAAATTGTTCCTGTGGGGATTGCCCACAGTATTGAGTAAGTAAGTCGCTTTGGATAAAAGCGTCTAACAAGTAACATGTAATGTAATGTAATGTAAAAGTCAGGAATACAAATCCATATATATTGGATATGGGTTTCAAATGCTCCATAGTGGTCAATTTGCTTTTCATGTAACGTTATGTAGCAGCTATTTAAATTCACTCAACATATGAAGCTGTTAAACAACTCTACCAGTTGCCTCTTTACAGTATATGGGCGTCTCATCTGGTGAAGTGTGTAAGGCAGTAACTGTTAGCGATGCTGTCTCATGGTATATTAAGAGTATGGAAACAGCTGCCAAACCGGCTGCAGAAAACAGCAACTCACTGATTTCCAGCCAAGCGTGCATAAAACTGTTTTGCAGTCAAAACTCGTTGGTTAAAAGTCACCTGCAGATTGATTACAGTTGAAATGGTTTTGATGTGTTTTATTTTGTTTCTGTCGAGTTTGAATAAAGAGTTTTAAACGTTGATCAGTGAGATATTCTGTTCTTGTACATATCATATTCTATTGACATGTATATTACATGTTACTTGTTAGACGCTTTTATCCAAAGCGACTTACATACTCAATACTGTGGGAGGAGCAATTTGGGGTGAAGTGTCTTGCCCAGGGACACAACGACATGCTGACTGCAGTGGGGTTTGAACCTGTGGTTCCTTTCATCCGAACACCAATGCTCTACCCACTGCGCCACACGCCTCCTATATATAGACTTTTTGCACTACTTTTTTATTTTGTATTTTATTATATATGTTGGATTGTTGGAGGAGCTCAGGTCAGAAGATTTTCATTGCCATTTCTACACTGTACTGTAGCGTTGTGCATATGACAATAAAACCTTTGAATTTGAACATTACTGTTACTTTTAAAGGAGTCTGGTGGCTTTGAGGAGAAAACATTAATTGTAGGTTTTCGACTTGAATAAATTGAATAAATGTCAAAATCCCTGTCCCTTGTTTTTTATTTGAAAGAATATTAATTTCAACTAGTGTTTCAAACATTGTACACTGGTGTCATATATCCCTCACTCATTGGAGCAGATAAACCCCACTGAAGACAAAGGCCAGATGTTTGGGTTTCTTTCATCCAGTGGGAAAAAGGGCTACAGATATGATTTATTTGAATAGATTCCTAATCGAATCACTTCTGATGGCTGTTGTTACCTTGCAGACGCGAGCCACTCGGGCCACGTTGAGCTCGGTGTCGCAGTCCAGCTCCAACGCCCGCTCACTGAAGAAGAAGTAGATCTTGTCGTCGTCTCCATCTTTACTGCCGCTGCTCTCCCTCACCAGGGCCGAACCCACAAAGTCCGGCTCTGCACACACACACACACACACACACACACACACACACACACACACACACACACACACACACACACACACACAAAGAACAGTGGTTTGAGAAAGTGTACTTTCTTACAGTAAAGACATACATCACATGTGAGCGAATAGCTAGTCTCAGCCTGCAGGCGCATTTGGACTGAATCACATCTCACACACACACAAACCTGCCTTTTACACACACACCACGCACGCACGCACGCACGCACGCACGCACGCACGCACGCACGCACGCACACACACACACACACACACACACACACACACACACACACACACACACACACACACACACACACACACACACACACACACACACACACACACACACACACACACACACACACACACACACACACACACACACACACACACTTGACACCTCCATCTCATTCCCTGCCGCCCCTTCTCACCCGTCTGTCTATTTTCTATCATCACTCTCTCCTTCGCATCATCTCTCCTCCAGTCATTTCTCACTCTCACTCTCTCCACTGCTCCCTATTATCGGTCCATTTTGTGTTTCTCACTTCGCCTCAGATTCTTTTACTCCATCCAGCCTTCATTACATTTGGAGTGATATGCTTTTATAGAAGAAAAAAGACAGATACAGGCATTCTTCCGGACTCGAGCTGCAGGGGGCTTGAGATTCAGCCATTTTCTTTACAAAGATACAACCTTCTCATTAGATTTTGAAAGATATGTTTTCAAAAATAGCCTGATAGAGAGATTTTTTAGGTTTCCAGCTGCAGGGGGCTTTCGATTCATTACATTACATGACATGTTACTTGTTAGACGCTTTTATCCAAAGCGACTTACATACTCAATACTGTGGACAATCCCCACAGGAGCAATTTGGGGTGAAGTGTCTTGCCTAGGGACACAACGACATGCTGACTGCAGTGAGGTTTGAACCTGTGACCCCCCTCATCCGAACACATACGCACAACCCAATGCGCCACACGCCTCCACACGATTCATTGTAAGGTGTTTTGTTTGAGTTACAAAGACTCAACATTTCCCAAGATGAACTGTTCTTTTCCCGTATAAAAGCCGCTGTATTTTAGAACTCTCCACTGAAACCCAGGCCAATTAAATGCTTTTATGCTGGTTAGAAGCTGCTTAAATTAAGGTGAGGATAGCCTCATAGGTCTAGTTTTTAATAAAAGCTCCATGAATAATAAACGGACACATCGATCCACCCTCAGCCTCATCTGTATGTTCCTCCCTCCCTCCCTCCGCCTCCTTTCTCCATTCCCCTCACCCCTCGCTCTATCTTTTCATCACCAATCCTAATGTCTGTTCTTTCATCAGCCATTTTTCCTGCTGTGACTTCATCCTCTTCTCTGCCCCTCATTTCTCTCGAGGTATCTCACTCCTGCTCCCCGAAATAGATAACGATCCTTCGCTTTAGCCGAGTCCTACGCTTCATTTCCTGCAACTAATTTCTCTTTTTCTCTTGTTCTTTTGCATGTTTCTGGCTCTTTCTTTTTTTAATGAAACTGTTAAAAATAAGCCGCCGTTATCACACTCGATCAGTGTCGCCATGGAAAAAGAGTCTTGAAGCTGAACTGATGAGGAATATTTGTATTAATAATTACTATACTTGCATGGATGAATAGATTTTCTTCACAAAAATTAAATTTTCTTCTATAAGTTTTGAATAGTTGACTTTCTAAGCTATGTGTTCATATTCCTTAAAGTAAGCTACAAATGTTAGCATGTATGGTTACTACAGTATTCATTCTAATGAGAGAAGGTAACGTGAACACAATTTATTACCAATGTTACGCCCCATAACTCCAAAGTAAATACATGACCCATTTTTGATGAAGCCACATATATCGTCTTGACATTCCTACAATAAAATGGCATTTTAATGAGAAATCAGGAACAAATTTACTTAGATTCATTTTCGGATTTACACAAACTGGCAAATATATTAAGCTAACATCAACAAATGTTTGTGTATGCCCTAGCCTCCTTACTGTCAGATTGCTCAATATCTAAAGTTAAGTAAATTCAATATAAATAGTTTAGGAAGTTTAATCCATTTCATACCACTTGTAATCATCACCATAGAGCTTCTGTATTGTTACATAGCTACGTGTTACTTGATGAAGATTTGTCAAAGTTATCGGAGAGCCCATCTTCTTTCAGTACTTTTGCCTTTTTTAACATAAACCTTGAAGACACAAATAAAAGGGCAGAGCTTTCTGCCTTTCCAACTATGTGTTTTTACGGTGAGCATTCAAAAATGGTTGTATTAGAACAAAACAAGGTTGAAATAATTGTTCTAGGGCTATTCAAATGAATCAGCAATCCAAGAACAATGCTTCTCAGTTACCATGCGTCGCCATGCACAATTATCTGGTGCGGATACAGACTTTTTGTATTGGAAATGCGGCTTTTAGCATTATATTTAGGACCATACTACATTCGTTTTAACAAGAGCCAGCTGGAAAGATTACAAATGTTAGCTGGAGGCTGTTCAAATAAGCTGATAAAAGCTGATAAACTGCTAAAAAATGAAAAGCTTGCTGTTGTCAACTTCTATGTGATTAGATCCATTGTTTCAAAAGGAATTATGAGCAGTAAACGTGCCATCGTCATCGCTGTAATCCACGCTAGAATAAAGCTTTGACTCATTGGTAAGAGGGGTTGGTGCTAAGCAAACAACCATTTTGTTCCATCCCTTCCTTCCCCTCTCTAATCGTGTTGGCAGGTTTACCTCTTTCATTGTCTTTGTCTTTCTAATGTCCGCTTTAACTCACCATTGAGCCAGGCGGGCAAGTATTCGCTCTTCATGCTGTAGTGCTGTAGGCCCAGGTTCCTCAGAATCACTGGCTCTGTACCCAGGAAGTTGTTGAGCGTTGCCGAGTACAGCTCCTTATCTGTAGCAGAATGCAAGATTTAGTTTAATTCTGTTCTTGTACAGGCCTGAGAGGACATTGGCTCAGCCGGGAGTCACAAAAGGAGACGGAGAATGGATGTGTATTTGTTCAGAAGGGCTGTTCAGTGCAGTGAATGCATGCATGCAAAGTTAAATTGGACTCCTGGACTCTCAGTGCAGTCGTATGGCTGCAAAACAGATGGGAAATGCTGCAGGAGCAGTTTGATGGACATTTAATGCCTCCGTTAGAGCTGTAAAAACATGGCGCAGTTCACTTTAGTGTTCACACTGCTGAGATGGAACAACAAGCGCTGACGGTGTGTTTGGGGTTGATATATTGATGTGAATGCATTTCCAGCTAAGGATTTATCATGCTTGTTGGGTAAACATGACACTTAAATGATTGTTACACTTGTTCGGCAACACTTAAAGAGGACATATAATAAAAAATCCCACTTTTTTAGTGATTGTGCGCATACATTTTGATATCTGCAGTGCCTTATAACCCAAAACAAGGCAACCAAGTCAGTGTTTGGGGGGTGCTTGGAAAAGAAAACATGGGATTTATCAAGCCATTCACAAATGGCTTCCCTTTCTATGTCACAAACAGGCTCATTACATGATACCGCCCGTCATCTGAGTATATCAACCAATGGCTATGCAATATTTACCCCTAGATTCCACCGGGTCCGTCTGCGGCGCGTTACGGGCGCGTTACGGGCGCGTTACGGGCGCGTTACGGGCGCGTTACGGCTGCGCCGCGGTGCTCACGGCGATCGCGGCCACTCTAGTCAATGGGTGCTATTCCACCACACGCGGCGCGTTACGGCTCAGAAGCGTCCCAGAAGCGTCCCAGAAGCGTCCCAGAAGCGTCCCAGAAGCGGCTCGGCGCAGGGCTCCTCTAAAATTAGGATGAATCCTATTTTTGACGCGGTGCAGCCGTAACGTAAGGTCGGGCAGGCAGGAAGTGGAACGTTCAGAGCATATCATATATATATATATATATACACACACACAAACAAATTTTGCAGACCCTATTCCTCCGTAGTCTTTCAAGTAGGAGGAGAAATGCCAGCGTTCTCCTCCGGTTTACAGGCACTGTGTAAATTATATATATAGAATAATTATGATGATGAATGCATTTTTTTACCACTAAAATACAGCAACACATCTTTGATTCATGTCGTTTATAACTGGAATATTACAGTTATTATTAACTTTGTCTGTACAAAGTAGCCTGTCCAGGAAATATGCCAAAATCAACAAAAACTGCGAGCCAGCAGGCAAGAGCTCCGCTTCTGAAATGCTTCTGAAACGCGCCTGGTAGGGTATGACGCCGGAGGAGGCCGGACCAAAACTGCGGCGCAGCCATAATGCGGCGCAGACGGACCCGGTGGAATCGAGGGGTAAGCCAAGACCAGGTTCAGCATTTTCAGGAGGGAGGCTTAAAGAGACATGTGGTGCGTGAACAGAGCGTTTCAGACAGAGGATGAATTCAGGTATATACAGAAAGATAGTGTGAGAAAATATACAGTTATTTTTTAACATTAAAGCATGTACACACATTATTTTGGAAGCCTCATTTACAAGTATGAACCTGAACATTTGCAGTATATGTCCCTTTATTTGTATTTGGAGTACGTAAAAACATGAGTACGGTATTTAAAGTATGCGCTTATTACTCACCCACTATAAGGCCAGTGTGCCCTTTGGCAGGGTCATATGGGCATTTACCCTTTCCATCCTCCAGGTCAGCAGGATTCAGGGTAAAAGCGTCTGCGTTCTACAAACACACACACACACACACACACACAAACACACACACACACACACACACACACACACACAGACAAAGGAAATCAGGTGTTTGTTTATCTTGGTCAGTGTGCGTTATGACCCACATGACACAGCTGCAAGCCCTGTGTGTCCGTTAAAATGACCACGGCTTCACCCCACGTCATGTTGTCCTGTCGCATCAGCGTCACATGTTTACACACACACGCACACACACACACACACACACACACACACACACACACACACACACACACACACACACACACACACACACACACACACACACACACACACACACACACACACACACACAATAGCATTCACACATTCAGATAACCCAGCATGGGACACTGTTTTCTATTACATTTTTTTCACTTTATCACACAGTTCTCTTAGCCTGTGGTCAGATTGAAGTTGACACCTGTCAGCAGCGCACGACCAAAATAACTCTGTCTAGGGAAACACACACACACACACACACACACACACACACACACACACACACACACACACACACACACACACACACACACACACACACACACACACACACACACACACACACACACACTTACCACATAGGTGCATTTGGGCTGGAAGGCGTAGGTGCCGCAGGTGTAGAGGTGTGTGTGGTTGTAGCTCTGCAGGAAGCGGATGTAGTTGAAACACTCGGTCTGTGGAGAGGAGGAGGAATTGTTAGAAAGCTGCTGTTTGTCCTCTGTTGAGGTGAAGCCCATTGCACCATGGAGACTCTGTATGCTCACACACACCTCTGAGACTCAGCTTAACTGTAATGCTTCAATGCGACTGCTTTTGAATCTTCATAACCTTGAGACTAGACCGCGTTACTCATGATTAACTTTTAAAATGTGTGAAGTCAGTGAGCGATGGAGAGGATCTCTTGGCAGCGCCATTCTTATATATGTGGATCCAAGAACAGTCATTTATTTTGAGTATGCTAAGTGTTCATTGTTATAATCTACCAAGACCCACAAGACTTTTTCTTAAACATCCTTTTTTAAGGATTGGGATATAAGAAACACATCACTATGATTTAATTATGTAATTTATTATGTGTTATTGCATCTAGTGGGTCTATTTATTCCATAAAAAAGTACTTTAAAAGGCACAATTTCAAATACATTGAGTTCCTTTATCATCTCCTGACAGCATGTCTGACTCCCTCTCAATATTTTTTAATATAAAAGTTCTGCCTCACTTTCTGTTTCCTGAAATATGGAAAATAAGATGATAACTCCCTCCCTAAAAATATGTGTTTAAAAGGCTTATTGGACATAACACACATCTAAATAGTTAATATAATCTAGTTAAGACTCAACATTAATAAAAAAACATCCAATGAAGAACATAAACAATATATATTTATACATTTTATCATTTAAGTCCCTCACTGCACTACAGTAAAATGTGTTTTCTGCAGTTTCCCTCTTTTCTAAAGACAGCACATGTGCCTTGTGTGTGTTACATCACTGGAGACATCACGATGTACTTCTCACACTACTTTAGGACTCAGATAAAGTGCCTGCATGGTGTTTAAAATCAGGGCTTAAGTGTCATGTCCTCCACAGAGGACAGCAATAATGTTCTGGGTCTCAGAAGGAGAGGACATCACTTAATAGATGATGTAACCACATGATCTAAATAACCTTTACACTGCGACAAAAAACGTGATAGGATGTTTCCATTCAAAAGATTTGTGGGTAATTAACAGTGTAATATATGTAGCGTTTCATGGGCAGTGCCCTTTAATGTCTGTGCTGTGATGAACAATAAAGCTCTTTGAATGGGATTGGAAACAGATGCTCACACATGATGCTACAGGAATGAATAATTCAGTGCATCCACTTGATGTTGCCTCTGCAGCAGCAAAACAATATCTGCCTCTCACGGCTGTTATAAGAGCAATATGATTTTGTTTTAATACATCTTTACAGCGCCTGTAATCAGCGAGGATAATCGGGACGAGATGCATCTGGCAGACGGTCCTCTTTCAGGCGACTACATTACATAAAAAGACTAATCATTGAGTATCTCGACGGGCAGTGTAAACACCATATGCTTATTCATTCATTCATTTATGTTATAAATAGGACATGTGTAAACATTCACTTAACTAAAGTAGCTTTAAATGCACTTTTGCTAGCATTTTTGATTAAATGCACCCAAGTATCCTGATCACAGGGCATCACGCTGCATTTGAACAACCATTCACGCCCCAAAACGAGAAGTTATGACACGTTTTAATTCAATTTTAGTTGAAGAAGTACTCCTACTACTGCCCTCCACTGAACTATTTCCCCTTCTGTTTGAAACCACATCAAAGGTAACTGTTGTGCAACGAGAGAGGTTTTCAGCTTCGTCTCTTAAACGTCTGTGTGTTTCTATAAAATATTAAACGAGACTCCTTGCAGATGTACTTTATGCCCTGTAAGCAGTGAGGAGCCGGGGCGCAGAGGAAAGAGAGTGTTTTCCCTTTCCGTTACAAAACAAACAGTGTAATCAGATTACTGGTACATTTCTAAAACTTGGGGGTAAATAGCAGGATAATAATGTTAGTATGAAACTAAGAGAGCATGTAGTGTTCAGATGTTATCTCTTCTCTGTAAGCTGTGCTGTTCTGTAGGATAATACTCACCCACATGTCACTTGTTAGACACTTTTATCCAAAGCGACTTACATTCTCAATACTGTGGAAAATCCGCACAGGAGCAATTTGGGGTGAAGTGTCCAGGGACACAACGACATGCTGACTGCAGTGGGGTTTGAACCTGTGACCCCCTGATCCCAACACCATGGCTCTATCCACTGCGCCACACGCCTCCCTACATAAAATCATTTTTGATCCTAAATATCTCGGTTTCTTCTTGTATTGTTCTGTTTTCTTACATAATGGATTTAAAAAAACCTCCTATTGATATTAATGTGCTGTTGTATTTATTCACATTGCATTTGATATTGCAATAATCCCAAAGTAATGGAAAGTATTCAGGTTGGATTAAGTTACTGATTACATGTTCTCTATTTAGAGATAATTACATTTGAAAGTAACCCTACCTACTCTGATCACAACTGATGGTAAGAGCTTAGAGTTAATACTGAACTACAGAGAGCTACTCCTCTGTTGAATATCATCATTTAATATTTGGAAAAAGTAGATCCTCAGAAATGTTTTATCTGATGAAGTCTTCTTTTCGTAATGAGCTAGCTTCTCGTAATGAATATTCAAAAAGGAATAGTTTTCCTGCTGAGAGTCAGATGAGAAGCCACTCTCATGTCTGTGTGCTAAATGTGAAGCCTCAGCATGCTTATCACTTATCAGACTCTCTCTGCTGCGGGACTTTCCCCTCTCTTTTTGTTGCTCGAGACAAAACACTTCCCGGATCGGCCCACCTTAAAAGTTGCTGATGCTGCCTGGAAGACGCTGTGAGCTAATGTAATGACTGGAAGCCTTCCAGTTAGAAACCCCTTAGACTGACTTGACAAAATGTAATGGAGCAAAGTGAAGTGGATAAACTACTGGCGTATAAACTCCTGTACACGTGGCCTTGAGAAAAGCAGGTAATCCCCACAAGATGCGTGTTACCTGGTTGTTCTTCCCCTTGGCCACACACTCCCTCTTCTTATCCTGCGGAGCCGGCCACTCGATCTGAAGAAAGAAAGACACAGATGTGATGAGGAACATGTCGTCTACAGGGAGGATGCTGTCTGCCTTTTGCCTATTTATCATTTTCTAAATGAACCACACAATCTTCCTAGGTTGGCCGATGACCAAGGTAAAACAGCACATTAATGAACCTTAATTAGAGCAGATTGACTCGATTTGCTGCACAAAATGGAGATAAAATGTTTTTTAATTAATTGGACAAGGTTATTCTTCACCTTGAACCAAAGCCATGGTTACAAATCTTTTCATCATGATAACAAGTCAATAACAATTGAGATCACAAGTTATTTATGTCATCCTCTCTCAAATTACAAATGTTGTTTCCCCAAAATAACGGCATATTGGCCAAGACCCATAACGTTTTATTTATGAAACATAGTTTTCTCATGATCTTTTATTTAATATGTCAGGATCCCGAGAAAAAGACTCTACCCCGAGCTCTCAAGTGATTGTTAATTGGAGATGAAAACATTTATAACACCCGATCTCAAGAAAACTTATAAAATCATCCTGATTTCAAGTGAAATCCACCTTGACCTTAAGTACGGTGGCCCTTAAAGGTCATGTTTCGAACAATCTATAACCACCCTTTGCTCATGAATATCACATTAGTGATCACAAGTTATTAATGTTATCACCACTAACATTACAAATTAGTTTGATTTATAAATCATTGTTTACTCGTGGCTTTGAAGTTATGACATTATCCCGAGAAAGTTTCTCTACTAGAGCTCTCTTATTTGGAGATAATAGGCGCTTTCACACCGGAGTACTTTTCCCAGGAATAGTTCCGATAGTTCCTGGGATTTTGCGTTCACACCAAAAAGATCTGGAACTAGAACTTTTTTTGGCGAACCTTTTCACCCCTTTTTAGTCCCTGCTAGAGAGCAGGTACTTTCCTGGGAGAAAAAGGTTCCCATTTCTATTGGCTGGGCGAATTGCAAACCACGCCCCATAAAACTCCGCAAAGTTTTGTGAAGCCGCCATTGTATTTGCTGGCATTAGCATTATTAGCATTAGCATTAGCCCAGCGCACCAACGGAGAGAGAATAACTTATGGCAACACTAAAGAAAACATGGGAGCGGTGGAGATGAGGAGGTGTCGGCTTTCTGGCGATTTACTCGGAAGGCTTCAGTAGAAGCTGCTGGGAGTCCCAGCAGCTTCTACTGAAGCCAGTCCCCAACTCCGGGGACTTCCGGCCGGGGACTCCGGGTGGCAGTATACGCCCTGAAGTTGTTTGCGGCCTGCCAGTAAACCCAAAGCAGAAGAAGAAGAAGTGACGTCAGCGGCTTCATTTGTCTAATCCTCCCTCAGGGACTTATTCCGGTGTGAACGCGATCTGCTCTTTAGTTCATCAGAACTAAAGAGTTCTGATGAACTAAGTACTGGGAACTAAGTACGGCAAAGTACTTGGTGTGAAAGCGCCTACTGACATAAATAACTCTAGATCTTGAGAAAACAAATAAAAATAACTTTATTTCACAGGAAAACAGAGGAAATACGATTAAACCGTGGCCATTCAGGGCTTCCGTACTACAGATACAGATAAGTAAATAGCTGCATTTCTGTTAAAACATGTAGTACAGAGAAAGCAAATAAGCCTTCTGTCCATACTTTCCTTAACCTTTGCGTTTAGTGCTTTCCAGTAGCTGATGCTTTTTTGAATGGCCGTTTGACACATGGCTGAACTTTGCTCCCTGCATTGAGGTCCAAAATATGAAGTGTGTTTACTGAGAGGTTTCCACACCATTAGCAATAATTACACTGGTCATTATAGGCAGAGAGCCGCCGCACATGCAGAATTAAACTCTGATTTACTTGGCTGCGCTTAAACCAACAGCAATCCAACAATGGGTCATTGCCATATACTGCGGTGGTAGATAAAGTACACTTTAAATACTTGACGAATGATATACTAACTATCATAAATTATAATACCTTTTATTATGATAATATTTCAGGGGTAAGTCAAACCTCTGAATGTCCACATTTCATTCTCACAGTAGACATGATGAAGTTATACGTTAATATTTAATAACTGAATTAATGATTACAATGACAGATTACCTGCAGGATGTGTAGTTTTAACAAATGCACTGGAGTTTTTAGAGAGAGACAGGATAAAATGAAGCGTAGCAACACCAGAAGTTTTTTTTGTCACTTCTAATTTGTTCCCAAGGGATTCTCATTCGTCACCAGTCAGTGTCTAATGAAGAAATTCACTCTTCATTTGCTCCACACAGATCAGTAATGTAATCAAAAACCTGGCAGTCGCAGGATTAATGTCTAAAAGCATAACAAGACAATGCCATGAATATCCTGTACCTCACACTACACACAAATAGCCTTTCCCCCCATTAGTGTCTATTGAAACATCTTAGAGTCTTTGTGAGAAATAGGATTGTAGGGTTGAGTTAAAAATAAAGTCTAACGGATGAAGCAACAACCTTTATTTTGCAAGGAGTGCTGTAACGTGGCTATACTTGTTTCCGCATTTAAAAGGCGCCTGCTAATATCTGATGTGTTTTCTCCTTCAGTGTTGGTGCAAGTAATGCAGTCCACGCTCAGTCCATTAGCTAATGCAAGTGCTGGTCCAAATTGTACTATACACATGGTCCCAAAAAACTAATGAATAGAGCAAGCAGTGGTGGAAAGTACATTTACTCTAGTACACTAACAACATGTTGTTTTACTGCGCTTGAGTATTTCATTTTATGCTACTTTATACTTATATTCCTGTACATCTCTTGGGTAGAATATTGTAGTTTTTACTTCACCGCATTTATTTGCCAACTTATCGCAAATTTGATTATTGAGATTACATTATTACATTACATTACATTACATGTCACTTGTTAGACGCTTTTATCCAAAGCGACTTACATACTCAATACTGTGGACAATCCCCACAGGAGCAATTTGGGGTGAAGTGTCTTGCCCAGGGACACAACGACATGCTGACTGCAGTGGGACTCGAACTTGCTATCCCCTGATTCGAAGTCCAGCACACTATCACTGAGCCACAGCCGTGTGTTATAATGTGTTATAATCAACACATACATTTGACTTAAGTTATACCTAGTCAATTCACGAGCTACACAGCAGTATACAAATTAAATAAACTAGGTCCATCTTCATTAGCTGCAACAAACAATAACATATTGTCATTATGCATCAATAATAACAAATACATACAAAAAGAACTTAGGATTTGAGCCTTGGCAGGCCATTTACATGCACAAAGAACAATATACCACACTACAGGGAAGGGACAAACCAAAAAAGCATAATAGGCCCCCTTTAAAGGGGATCTATCATGCAAAATGCACTTTTGTACGTCTTTTATACATGAATATGTGTCCCCGGTGTTCCAGGGAACTCACCAAGTGTCAGAAAACACAACCCTCTCTATTTTCCTCCATACCCAAATCTCTAAAAAAGGGGCTGCAACGGATCTGATAAAAACTGATCCAGATTTGAACACTGTCCTGACGTCAGGACAGTGGCGCTACGGCTATTGGGCCAACTCCACCAATCAGGAGGAGACAGCCACGGCCATTGCCGTTCGAAAGCGCTGGAGACGCTGTAGTACATATGCCAGGCCTGTAGATGGTGCTGTTCTCACTGAATCAGCCCTTGCTAAAACAGAGCTATAAATGGTCAAATTGAGCAAAATGAGGCATGGCTAAAATGCATGATCTGTTTGGTATTTTGAAAAAAAAAAAGTATAAATATGCCTTATATAGGTATGGTCCTACACTATATTATTAAAATATAGCATGATAGGTCCACTTTAAGTTACATTTAGTATGCAGGATTTATACAAATTGTACATTATTTCTACACTATGGTATTACAAGTTTTACTGAAGTACTTCTTCCAGCATTGAGAGCAAGATAATGTGAACCAAATTAGAACAACATTTCCAGCATTTAGTACTTTTTAAAATGCTGAAGCAAGGTGAATTACTGTCGCAAATTTAGTCAAAATTGGATCAGCGGTGTCTGAGGTATACCACACGGGACGACTGAACAAAACTAATAAGTGAAAGAATGAAAAACAATCATCATGGGAAAGAAAGTAACTAAATAATCTAGGAGGAAGAGCTTCAGGCACCAACAGGAGCGGCCTGTCTCAACAGAAAAAGAAGTGTCTTTAAAACAGTGAAAAATCCCCAGAAAATATGAGAAAATGGGAAGAAAGTCTGACATGAAGGTAATGAAGGAAGACAGCAGGGAGGAAACAAAGGGAGGAAGGGTGAGGAGGGGGGAGAGTGACAATATTCCCTCATCTTTGCTCAGTTCTGTCATGTTTCTGTATCGGCTCTTTTCTCTGTACACTGCACACTGGAGGCTGACAACAGGTGGCCTTATTATTACTGTAAGACGCATTACACTCACTCAATCAGCCGTGTGTGTGTGTGTGTGTGTGTGTGTGTGTGTGTGTGTGTGTGCGTGCGTGTGTGTGCACGTTAAAACGGCTCATTAAGGCTCTACATCAGATAACAATTCCCTCCCTGCTGCAGGCCGCTCACACCTTCATTGGACTGCTGTAATTGTATTGATTGCAATATGGACCAATTATAAAGGGAGCAAAGCAAGACCAGATTGAGTCTCGGAGGCTTTCTCATCTCTGCATGTGTGTGTGTGTGTGTGTGTGTAAAAATGTGTGTATCAGGTCAAGTGAAGGGTATTTATGGAGTGCTGTTAAACAAATAGGGTTGCCACGGAGGGACATAAGAAGATACACAGATTAAAACAATAATACATATGATTGAATGAGTGCATCGTAACGTGTGAGAAACAGGGCCGGTAGAAGTTGGCGTGTGTGTGTGTGTACGCCCACAGTGTTTGTGCTGACAGAAGTGAAATATTGGAGCCAATAGCCACGCATTTTAATATTTGGCAGCGTACTCGCACTATTACTGTAGAAGGCTTTTAGTAGGAGATAACATACATAACTTAAAATAAAGTAATAACGTGTTATAAGACATCTGAACTCATGAGATCATATAAAATCCATTCCCTGATTAACGATGAATCATTACATTTTAAGACCTTGTTTTTGTAGCTACTCTGGATCATATGCCTGGCTTAATGGCTTAGATGAAGTATGTAATGTATGGAGACAAACTGAGAAAATTCAGTTAAAGGTTGTTATATAAATCCAAAACACTACACATAATGATACATCAATAGTTTATATTATGGGTAATAAATAATCACAATGGAGCTTAAAAGAGATTTCCTTCAGAAATGTTAGATTTACAATTGTTTAAAAAAAATGTACGCCACTTGCAATGACACACAGGACAATAACTACAATGTTACTGCTATCCTGAGCTGCATGACATTAACAAGTTTAATGCAAGAGACATTTGCTACATTGCAGCAAAAATCGTAAGATATTGTCTGAAAAACAGATATTATTCAAAAAGAAATTAATGTAAACTTCTATTTTGCAGGTACTAGCATTTTGGAAGTTGATTTAAGACATTTTAACAACAATTAAGGCCTTATTTTTAATACATTTGATGCCTTTCAAAAATGTTTAAGCATCAGCGGGACCTGAACACTTTCATCATATAACTGCAAATTCAGTCCACGATTTATAATCATTGATTTAAAGTCTCTAATAGACACTAAAGTATTTTAAAAGACAAGCTAACGATTGGCTAACCTTTTCACTAAGGTAAAGGGAAGTATCTTCATAAAGTTCTCTTCCTCTTCAGGTACACTTTTAACAATCTTAAAACATATTTCGTTTTTGACTTGTTGACTGTATTTTGTTTCAGGGTTACTGATACTGAGTTTGAGAAAAATGCTTTAATACTTTGATTCAAGATTTGTTTTTAACTTTCCCTTTTTTACATTAAATTATTTTATTCAACTCAGAAAATACGAGTTGGCCATTGAGAAGAGAAAGCAGTTTTTGTGCTCTGGAAAGGTTGACATTGAGAGCTCTTAGCTGACGGCAGTTAACACATTTTATTATTCTTCTGACCCTTTAGGGATTGCACTTTAACACATTTTGAAAAGGCATTACTGCTTGACAGATATCCATTATAAGCTTGTTCAAGGCCTGAAGATTTAATAAAAGAAGCTCAGGCCAGACTAATAAAAGACCAAACAACTAGTGTGACTCAGGCGACTTTATTACGGCTCTATTACTGGTCTTCCATTGTCCGCCACAAACAGTTTTTGTGTGTGTTCTCAAATGTCCTTGGGTTAAGAACTGACACCAAGCATTATAATAAAGTAAGGTCAGTCCACGAGTTAAAAGGCAGTACAGACGAAGTGTGGCAGAAGCAGTTTCTTTTTCCTGCATAGCTGAAACGTTCCCATAATAATGATATCACTGTTAATATCATAATTGAATTCGGTGTATTTAAATGAAGTATTTGAAATGTGTGTTTATCTCCGCAGTGCTCTGTGGAAGCGACAATGCTTTTTTGTCCCCGGACTGTCCATCATGACGCTCTGTGATATTAAATCGTATGTGTTATCATTTTCATTTCTCACATATCTACCACAGCCTTTCAGATTGTGTGGGCGTTTGCAGTCAGTCAGTGTTTAGATGAAGAGCCTCCATTTCTTCCTGAACTTTAGTAAACCCAATTCATTAAGGCTGTACAATTTGGAGTAAGATATAATAATTTGTGATTATTTTGAGAGATATTGCGATACGATTTGAGGGAAGGAGCATTCTTGAAACATTATTCATATTATCATTAAATCATATATTATATAAAAATGTTTTATTAAGTCTGTAGAATAGCTTCACGGCAGCACCACAATACTTCATTTGAAATGATATGACGACATATTTGACCTTAACAGAAAACTGTGTATACTGTGATTTGTATATTGCAATTGTCCATATTGTAGTTTTGATAACATTTTCATTAATTATGCAGCCCTACAATTAAAGAGAGTCATTTTAAACCCTAACTCTTTTTTATTTAAATGTATCTTAAATGTATTTTAAATGTATTAGATTTTTTGAATTATTTTACTTTTCTTATGTATAAAATAATATACATATAAACTGTATATTATTTCAGATTTAAGGCATCAATAAGGCATGTTTCCATGTTTTGTTTGACTTATACTGCCTGTATTTTGTATATATTGATTGTTGAGCTTTTATCTTAATGTATAAATGTGTCTGTTGATTGTGTATATATAGGATATACATATTGTATACATATTTTTATATATATTTGTATTCGGGATTGTGGGAAACGGTATTTCGATCTCTCTGTCTGTACACACAAACTAAAAAATTGACAATAAAGTTGACTTTGACTTTAAAGAAATACGTGTTGAACAAACTACATGTATGGAAACCGGTAGAAACAATAAATGAAATCTGAGTGTGTTACCTGAGGCCGCAGCTGTCTGTTGATGTTGTTCGGGTCGAGGGCGAACAAGGTCTCCCGTGCTCCGACGTATAAAACCCTCTCGTGGTCGGACAGTGTCAGCATGCTGTAGTTGAACACTCCCTGAACGCTGAACCTCGCCATGCTGTCCAACACATCTGGAGAAAACACACACACACACACACACACAGGCATCGTCAAATCACTGATTATACACTCGCTGCAAAGTAGCTAGGGTTCCTCCCCACTGATCTGTTGACAGATGACAGAATCAAAGCTGAGAAGAACATTTCACACATTGGTTGACGTCTCGGCTTATTCGCACCAGCGAGCCTCGCCCACTCCACCGCTGCCACCTTTAGCTTAATGTCATCCATTCTGCTCGCTCTGTACACAGTCGACACACACACACACACACACACACACACACACACACACACACACACACACACACACACACACACACACACACACACACACACACACACACACACACACACACACACAGTACACAGCGTTGCTTTCTATAATTGGGATCAGTGTGTCGTCGTACACAGCTTTCAGACCCACTACCTGTGAGAGCTCCAATCTAACACCATTTAGAGTAATCCAACATTGGTGAGAAACTTCAAAACAACCTGTCAAATATAGCAGAAAAACAGACTGTAAAAATATCTGAAAAGTACTGTTTAAATATGGAAATGAGGCATTATGCATGAACTGTTCTCCTCAGCTCTAATTTAGCATTTTTTGAAACACAATTATGCCATTTTTGTTCAGTCTAAACACTCTCATCAGCGTCCTTTCAACAGGCCACATGCAGCTATTTTTCAATGGAAAAGCTTTAAAATAAACCCCATGCACCTGCCCTGGACTACAAAGCTGAACAGGAGAACCAGCAGCTAGCTTGTGAATAAAGCATTTAGCAGATAAAACGCCAGATACCTCCTCCAGGAGTTGCTTGAGAAAAAAACAATTGATGGAATTGATGTATATTAGCCAGGTGGCAGACACAGGAGTGAAAGGAAATGCTAATGATGAAACATTTGAATGTTTACAACTTGTGGCACTGCCCCCATGTGGCTAAAAAAATCAGTTAACCCTCCTATTGTCTTCGTCCCCCCCCCCCTTACTTTGGTGTTCGCGGTCAAATTTGACCGGTCCTGTTTTAACTGCTATTACATTAACACAAACACATTAATCATCACCAAATTTCATTTAACACCCTTTCAAACTGTACATATTGTATCAGACTACTGGTATACATGAAAAACTGCAGTAAATATACAAAGAACAGACACTGAACATGTATTGCGTGTGCCAGGTGTGATCCATGGGGGGGAGGGGCACATAAGAGCGGGGACACACACATCTAGAGTATGTGTGTGTGTGTGTGTGTGTGTGTGTGTGTGTGTGTGTGTGTGTGTGTGTGTGTGTGTGTGTGTGTGTGTGTGTGTGTGTGTGTGTGTGTGTGTGTGTTTTATCTGATCTGGATGGTTACTAATTCCTTTTCTTTATGGCGGGAACACCATGGGTGTTACAAAGTTGACTAAATCATCCAAAATTCAATGAAAGTGGTGATCAGCAATTGTGTATGTTCAAATGTCTACTGTGAAGGATATCATAAAGCCTTAATGCAATCAAATGTAAAACAAAAAAGTTATGATTGATGAAAGTAGTAAATCGGTCAGATTTGACCCGAAGACAACAGGAGGGTTCATGCAGGTTGACGTTTTTGGAAGCAAGCCACTATAGCTTTATGTATCTATTTAACTACATCAGTTTAAGTGGCAAACATATTAAGTTTGAGCCAATTCACACCTCTGCTGATATTGGTTTGACCACCACAGTAAAGTAACATCTTGTTCAGTAATTGACATTTTATACTCGTTGAGAAACAAAACAACAAAACAACAAATAATGAAGCTGTCAACACAACGTGACCAGGGGCGGACTGGGACTACAAATCAGCCCGGGAAACTCGTACCGGCCAACCGGCCCAACTCGGTACCGCTAGTCAATTGTCAACGGGGGGGGGGGGTGCTAGTGAATTGTCCGACCGGCCCACTTCGGTACCGGCCCAATGGCCAGTCCGCCCCTGAACGTGACTGAAGGTTATACAAAAAAACAGCACTTTTTCTTTAGAGCTCTCAAACTAATTATGTCTTAATGACTTTGTTGAGATTGCCCACGGTACAGCTTCAAGATCTTATTTAATGATTCCTGCAGAACAGAAAGCTTCCCAGGCTCCGTGTTTACTCTAACAACCTGCAGAAGAAGGCGGGCTGAAATGTTCCAGATCTGCATGTCAGAAGGGAGATAAGGTTGTCATCTATTTACAAAAAAAGCTGTGCAAATAAACAAGAAAGCAATATTGCACTTGCCCTCCCAGCCCTTGTTTTGATGAGCAGTGCAGTGACGTGTGCAGAAACAGACACCGGCACTTTTTCAAATCTAACTGCAGAGAGAAGGCAGAATCTGGAGTTTTAAAGGTTATTGATGCATACAGATGGAGGCATAATCCAGCATCTGCACAATCATAATCTTTTAAATAATAAAGTAAACTAACGGCTTCGATCGGCATTGGCAAGTGCTTTGAGTCTTCGAATTAGGTTTTTGATAGAGCCGAGAGTTTGTTTTCGTATACTTCTTCGATAGAAATCCAATTAAGAATGGTAATTTTTGAATTAGGAAAATCCTGTTTTCGGAAAACAGCCTAAATTGTGTTTTGCCTTAATTGGACTGGAGATTGTTAAAGGACTCCTACATGCATCATTAAGAGGAGAGCAGCTCAATCTGGGCTGCACAGGCCGCCTTCGCACAACAATAGAGGGATTTAGAGGCTGACCTTATTGCAAATGGAAAATGAGATGCGACGTGGACAGAATGCGTAAGAAAGAATGAATGGTTTAAATCTGCTGGTGTGATTTTTTGAATCTGTGCTGCACATCCTGTTATAGATTGCATTTTAATAAAAGCCTAAGTGAGGCTTTTTACTCTGATTAGTCTATCACTCACACTGTTCAAAGAATATTAGCCTCCTTGTAAACCCAGTTATTGATCCTGTGATCAAACAGCTGAATCCATGTGATTGATATTGGGTTTGTCTAACTTGCTTAGGGAGTGCCCGTGTTTTTATTGGGTTGTTTTTCTTATTTTGAAGCTTGCAGAGCGACACGAACAATCTGGAAAAAGATGATCAAAAAATGTTCCCTCCACAGTTCAATCTGCAGGGGAAAAACCAGAGCTGACTTTTTTCATCAAATTTGAAAAAGAAGCACCCACTGCTTTGCTATTCACACACTCACACACGCACACGCACACACACACACACACACACACACACACACACACACACACACACACACACACACACACACACACACACACACACACACACACACACACACACACACACACACTAGCATACAGACAGCTAGTGGAGCAGAGCAGATGAGAAAGGAGACAGAGAAACTGATGGTGTTTAGTTTTCATTATCCACACTTGTAGTGTAGTTCTCCCTCTCCTCTTCTTCCCTCTTTCTTTCTTTATCTGGGCCGAGGAGACAACAGCACATAATGTGATCTCATAACTGCATAAGAATATTCCCTTTTTTTGTTTTTCTAAAGCATGAATATTTCCATTTCTTTGCCGTCTCCCTGAAAATAGCAGCAGAAATCCAGGGAGGGATCGGCAGGAACTGGTGATTTATGGTGTGACTAACTGCTCATGTGATGCTGTGGCCTAGTTGGGACTAAGTAGACTTATATACATGGAGCAGGCTCAATGAAGGAGCTGTGTGTGTGTGTGTGTGTGTGTGTGTGTGTGTGTGTGTGTGTGTGTGTGTGTGTGTGTGTGTGTGTGTGTGTGTGTGTGTGTGTGTGTGTGTGTCTTTACGAGAGACACATGAAAAGAAGGGTATAAAGTGAGCTTGTTACTGAAACTTAATTAAAGTCATTCAACCTAAAGCACATCTTGAAAGCTTTTTGCATTTGCTTTAAATACCTTTCAACACCTTTTTCAAACAATGTGATGCCATTTATTCTTTATACAAAATACCATCATTGCTTTCAAAACATCCCTCACCTGACATTTTTAGACCAAAGATGGCGCTAGCATCAAGACAAACAAAAACATTGGGGAAATATTATGCAGCTAATTTCCAAAAGCCAAGGCAACAAATTAATGTTTTATTTGTTTATCCAATCTTATTTTTCTCCAGTCTTTTATTGAATAGTTATAATTACATTTTCTGCCAAACTGACTGGGTATGTAAATTAAGCTTTCTATTTCACATTTAGCAAGTTGAGCCTAACTGCAAAACTTATCAGCTATGACCAACAGCAGTCAGATAACATTGACATAGCTGCATAAATATCATATAAAAACAATAAGTAAACAAAGCACTCCAATGGAGGACTTACATGTGTTTGAATGTGTTACATCCAGCTAAATCAAATCACAGTCAGTGAAATGTGTCATGTAGTGAGATGTACAGAAGACTGTAAGGAGAGACCTAGAGGAGAGGAGGGACTAAGTAAGCAAAGGAAGGAAGGAAGGAAAGGGGAAGAGTACTGAGATAGTCAGCCTATTATGTGAGGAGCAGCCGTGTATAAACATTGGAGGGTTTGCACGGATGAGGGAGCTTGATGAGAGAGAGAGAGAGAGAGAGAGAGAGAGAGAGAGAGAGAGAGAGAGAGAGAGAGAGAGAGAGAGAGACGGCATCCCCAGGGGAGAAGTGAGCACATCTGCTGTGTTCCACACAACCGGGCAAGAAAACTCCAGAGCTCACTCACACAGCACACACACACAACACACACACACACACACACACACACACACACAGACACACACACACACACACACACACACACACACACACAACACACACACACACACACACACACACACACCCTCACACACACACACACTCCGTGCTGAGGTACTTGGCTACACACAAATCGGTGCACGTCCGAACACACAGAATACACAAGTTTATGGGTAAGCTAAAAGACACATTGCATTTGCACAAACACACACACAGTCCTGAATGGCTCTCCAGGGTACCTGCTCAGAGACTCAAACGTCTCTCAACAACAGAGGGAAAGTTTCTCTGCGAGTGGCTTGTTTGAAGTGATCAGCGGCTCTTTCATTAAGA